GGGCGGGGACGTTTCCCGTCACCGAGACAGGTTCCAGCGTCCTGGAGGCGGTCAAGGTGACATTACGTGCATAAAATAGCTACACTACACAGGCATATCTGGATCAGGCGGGTGTGAGTGTGCGGCGCTCTTTGGCGAGAGAGACAGAGAGAGGATGAGAGGGAGGGAGAGCGGTGGGATGGACGAACGAAGGTACGGGTAAATGTAGAGTGGATGGACGGATGAATGAAGGAGGAGGAGGAGGAGGAGGAGGAGAATGGTGGGTGGTGGAGGGACTATGCACCTCCGTATCGCGCTGCCCACAGTCATTGTTGTTGCCCTGCCCAACGTCTGCGTCAGTCATGTGCTGAAGAACGTGCAGGACCCTGGGACGCACCCATTCACAGGGGACATCTCCCGCGTAGATCTTGGTACCCTTTCTGGTGGACCGGACTAGATCCTACGCCATCTTGTTGTCCATGCCACATGGACGGCTGGCCCAGTGGCGCCTAGGAGATATCGCAAACACATCCAAAAGCGTGTCGAGAAAGGCCCCTCCAGGACAAGGGTCCATCTGCAGATCGACGGGCTTCCCAGCGCTTGGTATTGGCGAACCAGGCGAACCGGTATAACAACACTGACGTTTTGTTGCATCCGAGTGAGGAGAAGGGGGAGGAGGGGGGGGAGGGGAACAAGGGAAGAGGCCTCTCCTGCGACTGCTCGTCAACCCTGATTTTGCGGGCTAGAGGCTCACGGAGAGATGACATTGGCTTGGCCCCTCCCATTATCTTGATGGTAGGTAGTAAGCCGTGCTGCATATGCCAGATGGACGAGGGAGATTGGCTACGGGCTCGAGGCCGCCACTTCGAACTTCAGCTGCTGCCGGGGGGGGAGAAGGCGAGGGAGGTAGAAAGGGAGGTCGCCCGGAGAGGATCTCCCGCCAAGCGGCTACCTGTCTGTCTTTCGGAGCGGAGTGACACAAGAGGCTGCAGATGAAGCTATCAGCTGGCCCAGCACGGGAAGAAGATGGAATATGACACTACGACAAGACACAAGAGGGCTACCTGTCGGATTTCAGCTAGAGACAAGGAGGCATCCCGCAACGTCAGAGAGCTTCGAAATGCGAGTCGAAGTGAGGCGAGACTGCAGCTTCGCGCCGTGATCGCATGCACACCAAAGCTCTGGGGCTTTGCAAGGCAACGTCCATGAACATCACACTGCATTGGATGGGGCGTCGAAAGCGGGATGACTAGCGAGGGTGCCCAGAATGGATACCCGGATAGGATAATGTCGGACTAGATGTGCAGCTCGGTTGGCAGGCCGGTTCTTTTCTGCAGCATCCAGGCCCCGTCCTGGACAACGGCAAATGCGGGTACACCGGGTAAGACGAGACGAAGCTCCGGGACCTGATAGCTGGCAGGCGAGAGAAGGTGGCGGGGCGATGCGCGATGGAGAGGCTGTTGATAGCAGAAGCAGATGGTCGGAGATGCAAGTGGCTGCAAGTTGACTGCGAGGACATCATGCCAGCCATGCCAGGCCGTCCCATATGGTGATCGGCTTAACCAACCCCACGGATAGCCCCGCACCGAACCCCAAGATCTTCAACGCTCTGCTCTTACCCCTTTCGGTATTCCCGTCATCAGTGTACGTACTACTACGTAGCTGTAGGTATCGGCGGGGTCTAATAGGCTGTTTGACGGGCTGGCTGGCACGGGCTGGCTGGCACGGGCTTGTATACTATAGACGTATAGGCCTGGAGGGCTACCGCGGGCGCGCTAGGGGCAGGGGGTCCGGGAGCATGTACGGATCTGTACCGGTTCGCCGTGTGGGCCGTCCGTGCATTGGCGTTCCCTGAGACCTCTGGAATTCCGCACATCCCTAGCCTCCCAAGAGGAAGCTAGCGTAGGGTCCAGGTACGCGGTGAGTACCCTACCTCTTGCTTACATATGTAGAGATGCCTTGGGTACCTAAACCGCCTACCACCTACCTCCTCTACCTACCTACCTACCTACTCACCTAGGTACCTGTCTACGGTGCATAAGAGGAGGGAGCTGTCTACCTGTAAGTGGGTAGGCAGGCAGGCATCGCACATCAACCTCCTACCTACCTTAGGTACCTAACCTACCTACCTGGTATCTAGGTAGGTATGATGATACAACGCTTTAAGGTATCATCACGCCTACTACGTAGCGAGGTTGGGCCTAATATATACATACCTAGGTACACTACCTAGGTAGGCACAATTAACTACCCCCTGCAGGTAGGTATGTATGGTAGGGATCTTCTATCTATCTTAGTGCTGCGCTTGGAAGTTTCTATCGCCCCTCTGACTCGATGCCCCTCCCCCTCCTTTCCCTCTCATGTTCTCGATTTCTTATACCCTCCACAAAGCCTGCCGCCCAAGTCTGCAGAGGGGGGCGGCCCTATACGAAAGTGTATTAGGTGCCCGATGTGCGTAGATCCAACTACCTGCCTCTTTCCCTCCGACTTTAACCTGCCCCTTGTCTACGTACTTATGTACCTTACCGCCTAGACGACAGGCGCCTAAGGTAGGAATTGCCTATACTTGCCGTCCACCCCACCTGTACCCATGCATGGTCTGATCCACTTGCACATCTAAAAGTTCCTTTTCTTTTTCCTTTTTAAGGTCGGGCAAGGTGCGTGCGTGCCTACCTAAGGTACCTAGACTAGGTACGTATATGTTCGTAGCACGCCTCTAACTAGACGTCACGTAGAGGTACCTACCTAGATACCTAGGTACCTATGTGCTTTCTGTGGTGCGAATCTTACATAGGTAAATCTCTAAGGTGGGAAGGATGTGGATAAGAGGCATGTATGCCATATGAGGTATGTACCCAGGTGCAATCATTTGTGTACTTAAGCGCTTTGCTGCAGGCAGAGAATGTTACATGTGAAACCCAAGGTTGTTCGATGTTTGATAGTAGATGCATATATATTGACGTACCTAGGAAACATTAAGCGGAAGGACGGTCGGAAGTACGGAAGAGAGAGAGAGAGGTAGGCTGGTTTGCTACCTGCTAGTGTGTACTGATGGATGTATATATAGAATATAGAATAAAAGGCGCACCACACTGCCTACCTAGGTACCTTTACGTCTGTTAAATCTACTGCGAAAATCTTTAAAAGGGCGGGCTTGGCTTATCCTAGGTACCCGGAGGTACGTGCCTGCAAATGTAAAAATAAGGTACTTCCTAGCCTTTAATGCAACGGGAGTAGAACATGTTTCAATTAGTATCTAAGTATATAAGATATATCTGCCTCGTAGATTAAGTACATCTATTAATGATATTAAAACTTAAGATAAGTTAAGTAATTTTATAACTATATATATCGATATAAATAGTTTACTAATTATATATGTAAGTATATATAAGAAATTAAAAATAACTTTATTATACTTTTTAAACTTATTTTAAGTTTATTTTAATTTTAAATTTATATATATATTATGATATTATAAAAATATATATACTTTTTTATTATATTATATATTACACATATATATATATATATATTAGTTTAATTACTATATAATATATTAATATTAAATATATTTATATTAAATATGAACTTATTTTTAAAATTTTATTTTATTTAATAATGAAAATATTTAAATATATTCTCTATTTTTTATATTGTTTCTATTTTTAGTAATGTTTTCTACGCCTCTTTAACTTTCAAGTAAATTAATTAATAGATACAACCTATTAGTTAGTAAGAAACCGAGTTTACCTACGTACTCTTGTGTTCGTACCTGTCATGCCTTTATATAGATCGGGTACCTAGCGCCTGGCAACTGGCAACCCGGACCGTGTCCCTTAGGTACCTTCCCATGTAGCTCTTCCTTATGTTGGCATCTCTCCGCTTCCGGTCTTTCCCATGTACCTAGAGAGGAGGTATCTACATTCCGTTGTACATCCCGCCTACGTCAACAAGTGGTCCATGCTAGGAGGTAGGTAGGTACCTAATCGACGGCTCGAAGTTCATCTACCTTAGGTAGTTATACATACCTGGCAGGTATGGCCTGCTCGCCTGAAGCTGTTAGTAAGAGTGTCTTGAAAGTGGGGCATGCATCTACGATACTAAATACCTACCTACCTACCTACAGGATTGCCTACCTAGGTAAGTACCTAAGATAGGTACCTGACCTGACCTTACACATATGCCTCACAGCATGTTGGCCTGAACCCCACGGCCTTAGGGTGTGGCTGCTATGAGGTAGGAGGTATGTAGGCAGTACTTACCTAGGTCATGTACCTGAGTAGTGCCTGCGGTGTGTATAATGCTGGTAACCTACCTTTGAGGTTTCTGCCTCTAAGTGGATCTACGTACCTCCCAAGAGGTATATGCATAGAGACTAGATGTAGACCGAGGTAGAACCACATACATTAACGCAAGGTAGGGTAGCAGTCCGATACGCCATGTCGCCTGGGCATACGCGAGATCGTGCGGTACATTTGACATTTACACTTTTCATATACTTCTCAGGTACCTACGTATACATGGAGCGTCTTATTTGAGCCCTATTAAGGTACCTAGCCTACCTGATGGGCCCTATTACGTGCTCCATCCAGGGATTTTGGTTTTCAGCGCTCAACCAGCTTCGTTTTCTGCTTCCCGTCTCAGCTATTTAAGCTTGGCCGTTCTCTCTCTCTCTCGTCCACCTCCCGGACTTGTCTCCTAACTTGACGTCGTTCCGCTCTACTTAACTGTCACCTCTCCCTCTGCCCGCAGTCTGTGCCCTATTCTCACTTGCGCATCCAGCAAAGGTCCGTCTCCTCCCCGTAGCCCTTCCTTCCCGCCCTCACCCAATTGCTTCACTGTATTGAGTTTTACGTTGCTTCGCTTAGCAAGATCTACCCGTGTTCATTATTCGCAGGGTTTTGAGGGGCTGAACATTCCAGTACAGAGTCGGTTTTCTCAACTTCTCGATAAACACCAAGCAGAGACTACATATAAATCCTCGTCTCCCTTCCCAACCCGAAATCACCACCGCTACCATGGGTGTCACCAAGTTCATTATTCAACATGGCAGTGGCGCTCAGCCTAATGTTGGCCAGACTGTCACCATTGAATACACTGGATGGCTCAAGGACACCAGCAAGCCGGGTAACAAAGGCGACAAGTAAGTGTCGTGTCGACCCTTCTCCCCCCCCTTGTGCTGGCGGCTTCAAATCAGCCAAAGTCCCTTGGCATTGACGTAAGCGGTGCTTGATAGCAGGGATTTTGTAAAAAAGAATTTATTAAAAAGAGCTACTAACTAAATCCAACAGGTTTGACTCTTCTGTCGGTCGTGGTGACTTCGTCACGCAAATTGGCGTTGGCCAGGTCATCAAAGGTATCCGGTTCCCGCATGCATTGGCGGATGCCTTTCGACGAGCTGAGGCTGACAGTGATTCACTAACCATAGGATGGGACGAGGGTGTCGTTACCATGAAGGTCGGCGAGAAAGCCACTCTCGATATTACAAGGTATGATGCTATATGTCATATCATTCTTGGAGAACTTGTAGTAGGCTGACCAAGTGGGCTGTAGTGACTATGGCTACGGGTCGAGGTAGGCTTCTCTGCCATCCCCTATTGATATCGGGCTCCCGCAGAAGACATTTTCGTCATATGGAAGAAGAGTCCTACGTGTCCATTCCGACACCACTCCCTTCTCCCTTACTCACTAGCTAGCCCACCTAAATAATGCTCGGGGCTAACGCATTATTTAGGGGCTTCACCGGCCACATCCCTCCCAATGCTGACCTGATCTTGTAAGTACTTCTATTACTTAGCGTAAACATCCCCGCAGAGACATGTAACACGAGGCTAACAGTTGTATCGCAGCGATGTGTACCTCAAGAGCATCCAGTAAAGGATGATTGGCAACTGTTACTAGCATCGACGGAATCAGGTCTGGTCCATGCCGTCTAGAAAATGGGTATAGGGTAGGAGGTTCTCTCGTTTCGGTTAGATCTCGGCTACAGACAGCATAGGCTGGGGCAGGACCTGTGTGAGAGACACATATTAAACAATCATTGATCACTAGCTGGGCGATATTCTCGTTTGCTCTATTCTCGTGATACCAGGCCAAATTCATGGGATTAAATTTCCTAGCTAGGGACCTTTGTCTTTCCTGATATTACCGCCTCGACACACTAGGACCTTGAAGCCCCCCTTCTCTCTAGAAATATTTTCGCCGAGACCTATTGTCACTACAGATCGAGGCTCCCTACCGAATCTTGGTTTCACTGCAGGTGGCAGTTATCAACGCGAGCCTGCAACCACGCGTGACGATGCGGCTTCTTTTGCGTCAGCACTAGCTCTTGTGGGGGATATCGTTTGGCTACGATCATGCCTTGTTTTAACAAGTCAACCACGGGAAAACTAATGAAAACTGCCCAGCGCTTGGTGACATAGATTGCGGGAAGAGAGCGATGAGAGCGATGCGTACGAAGGCCGGCCCTCGCTTAGATATCCTGCCGCGAAGCGAGCTGGATCCGTCCATTGCACAATCTGAGACAGCATCATCCAGAAATCTGCAAGACAGGCTGCGATCGTCCGACGGGGCGATCGCCATTGTGACACTGTGCCTGCCTGCTCTCGAATGCTTCCGAGCCCTCTGGATCTGCGAAAAACCAGTTGCCTGGAACCGATCGGGCTCTCAAGATGACAGCATTCACGAAGTGCGGGATCACAGGTGAGTATTCCTAGGGTACACTCATCGACAGACTAGAGAGACTGATTTATCGCCTATTTATTCATTTATTATTAGTTCCTTTGGCTCTAAATCCACCATCGAACGAGAGGAGAGCAGCATAGGGATATTAAACCTCATTGGTACTTGCTTTGTCATCCTATACATCGTGTGGTGGAGTTTATGAGACTCCGGCATCACGTCACGTCAACTAATAACTTATCACCGATCAAACCTGGCATCGCATCTCCCTATTATGGCCGATCCCGATTTGGGCCACCCCTCGTGGCCTTTTTTCATGTTGACCCAAGGTGGCTAATACGCGTACCAAGTGTTTTTCATGAACTATGGCTTTGTAGGCCTTTGACGAGGAGCCTGTTTTAGATATGCCTTGGGGCTCTCGCACAAAGCTGGTCAATCAGTAGCTACGTATGCACACCGTTTCCGGCAATCCTGCTGCTGCTTTAGTATTGCTCTTCTTCCTTGGTCCCCACGCCTAGAACTCGAATATTACACTGAACATGTAATTACCGGGAAACCCCCGCACTGCCACCGAAGCTGCAGCCTCACTCGCCCATATCGTGTCGCCAATGGGGCCTAAAACTAAGCCGGGACGCCCCGAAGCAGGAGGATTGGGTCTCCTCGAGGAAGCTTTCCGCCCGGGCGTGCCCGAGCTGCGGAAGACGGCCTTTCTAACAGCCTACGAGATTCAAAAGCATTTTGCCCGAGATGGCCAGCAGAGATTCAAGTTCGAATGCATAGTGGGAATGGGACAGTATGGCGTTGCCTGCCGGATCCTGGAAAAGGAGCAACGAGGATTCTTCTTCAGGAGGCCGGAGAGGAGGTTTATCGTTAAGGTGGCCCTCGGCAACGACCCAGAGGTGGTTAACGCGCTCACTCACGAGATAGAGATGGTACAGGTGAGAATAGCCTGCATACGCGCGAACGGTCTCTCTTCAGCCCGACTCTACCCTGGAGACGGACATCGGGTTCGGCAGAATTGCGGGTTGGCCAGGCGAGGTTGAGAAAACGATATGTGCTCATACGGCTAACACGTACTTAGCGGTTAAGGGGGTCATCGCACGTCCTGCAACCCATCAAAATAACGCGCAACCCGCTGCTCGGGGCCCTCAAAGGCCCGAGCCTCATCGCCGAGTACATCGAGAACGGGCCCCTTGCCGACTTTCTAGACCTAGCTCTAGCCAAGAAGTTACCGCTACCCAACCGGTTGCTATGGAGGATATTCAACTGCTGTAAGTGGGCCGGGACAACTTATAAGCATAAGGAACGAAGAAAGACAGGGGCTTTGCTATGTTATGCGCATGCTGGGGGTGGTACACGGTCTAAGCCTCATGGTACTAACATGATGCTCTCCCCCAAGTGCTGCATTTTGTTATTGCCATGGCCTGGCCGGGACGGAACAGCGTATACCGAGGAGCCAAGAAAACGCAAATATACCATAACGACATGCATCTGGGGAACGGTAAGTGGCAATTATTCTCCCTTGCACATGGCCGGCCCTCCTCGCCTTCTTCCTAGGTTACATTACAAGACGGGTGGGGAGGTTTAGGAGGGAGGCGCCAGTATATGCTCCGCATCAACTGATGGACGACGGCTAACGAAATATGTGACCCCTTCCACTCGCACATCCATCTAGTCTTGATCGGTGATTTCGATAGTGACGAGCATGCCCTGGCCCCGATGCTGAAGCTGATAGATTTCGGACTATCCGGAGAGTCCTCCGCATCCCGTCCGTTCATGTAGGTGGAATAGACGGATATTCGCGTAGAGGGTAGGGCCCACGGCTGACACGCAACATATAATATAGGCAGGGCGCCAACCCGGCTGTTAGGCAGAATATATTTGATATCGGCATTGTAGGTTTTACATACTCTCACACCACCCCCTCGCCCTCCAAAACCACCCTCACTCTCACAAGCAAAAGAAGATCAAAGGAGATTCAGTCATTTTAAATGCGGTTCTGACCTAAATAATCCCTCTAACATAGATAATGGTTTGCCTCATAAGCGGCAGATGGAGCCCTAGCAAGGCGAGCATGGACATGCGTCTATACGGGCGCTCGTTGAGGATAGAATCGGCCGCAGTCGCACTCGCCTCGCCCCACCACTTTCCGGGCCTGGACGAGGACCTGTGCGGCCTCGTTATCGTGAGTATATTTCGAACGGCCATCTTTCCTCGGGGCCAGGTCCCGACCCTTCCCTTCCTCTTTCTCGCTTGCCACACGAGAGAGGAGGGATAGAAATACGGACAAGTGGCGTCGCTGACTTCTCGATTTAATAAAGTGGTGTTGCGCTAGCCACCCAGAGAATCGCCCCGAAATCGAGAACCTGTCCAACATCATCACGCACCAGCTTCACATCAAGACAGCTGCGGCGTACGTTGGCACGCTTGCGGAGGCCCGCGAGACCGACGCCGCCGTGGCCGAGTTCGTCCGCAACATCATGGTCCCCGGGCCGCGCCCTACTTCTAGCAGCTGATGGCTAGGCATCTAACGTTTTATTTTTGTTGTTGAATTTTTAATAATAAAAAAAGATAGAAGGGAAACTCGAGGGAATTTTTAGGCAAAATGACTAGACTGAAGACGGGTCTAAAAACTGCCTGTAGTGCGGCCGAAGTATCACGATAGGTACTTCGAGGAGTGCGCATTGTATCTTCTTCTAGTCGGCGAGGGAACCGAAGGAGGTAGCCCGGTTTAGCTTGTTGCCCGCGTGTCGGCCATGCAGTCTTTAACGGGCCATTCGGCGGTATCCTATGTCTTCGTGTTGAGAAACCTCTCTAGGTCCCCGAATTCACCGCTGTGCTTCATCATATCGTAGAATTGCCCCCTTGCCTCGTAGAGTTCTTTTGGACTGCCGTCTCTAGATAGCGTGTCTCGTTAGCTGGGGGCTCTTCCCTCGAATGTTCTACGGGGGGTGGTAGGACGATTATAATAGGTAAGAGAAGAAGCATGTACTCTAAAACCGAACCTGCGCTCATGACTACTACGCGGTCGTAGTCGATGATCGTCTTGAGGCGGTGGGCGATAGTGACTAGCGTCCTGTCTCGGCCGTTCTCGCTCAGTTCTTTTCGCAGGACCTCCTGTAACCCCCGATCTGTCTCATAATCCATCTACTCAAGTTAGTACTAGTTGGTTACAACTTCAGGTAAGAGAGATCGCTCAGAGGGAGAGACGGCCTGAAGATGACAGCATCCTGGGAAATACGTACGCTTGCAGTCGCCTCGTCGAGCAGCATCAGCTTACTCTTGCGTACTAGAGCTCTGCAAAGTGAGAGCACCTGCCGCTGGCCGTGGGAAAAGTTCTCGCCTTGTGGTTTCACTGCAGTTTCGAGAGCGATGCCTATGTCGTTTTGCAGTTCGCCGGAGGAGATGGCATTAGATTGTCCCCGACCGTTTCGCTCGCGTTCTCCGTCCTGATGGAACCGAAACGACGCAACCCCGCTGCAGTACTGCAAGGCCTTCTTCAGTGTCTCCGTGGGGACCTTTCCCGTTGGGTCAAGATTTGATTTAACATCGCCGTTGAACAACACTGCTTCTTGCGGTATAATTGTAAGTGCTTCTCGGAGCCTCCTACGTGGGAATTTCGCGATGTCAACCCCGTCAAAAATGATCTTGCCTGAAACGATGTTGGTGAAACGCAGCAAAGATAGGATCAACTGTAAATCGCGCTGCTTAGGACAAAGGGTTATTCTCGAGATATTAAGTGCTGTACACTTACAGTGCTCTTCCCAGATCCGGTCCGTCCGACGATTGCAACTCTCTCGCCGGCTGCAAATTTGAGGTTGATGCCCTTCAAAATTTCTGGTCCATCGGCATCGTACTTTATGGTTACGTTACAAAATTCAACCTCGCCGCTTGTTGGCCAATTCTCGGGCATCGTGGATTCCGGGTCATCGGAATAACTGCCAACATCTCCGTACTCGCTCGGCTTCTCTTCTGGTTCAGCAGCGGCATATTCACGAACTCGGTGAAACTTGACATCTTATGAGTACTGGCTTGTTTGTTATGGGGGCACCTCAGCAATCGACTCACGCTCTGTAGCTCAATCTCCAGCTCGTTCCCGTGCCTAACGAGCAAGAGTATGAGTTGGCTAAGTGTCTAAAACCCACGTTAGAAATCACGCCCCTTAAAATTAGTCGGCAATACTGTCTTACTGTAGCATTTGTCAACGAGAATCCAACGAGGCCGGCTGCCACAACTCCAGCTTTTGATACGGCAATAACCCCTGCGGCGACAGTAACTAGAGTGGTCATCATGTCGACCTTCAGGGCAACCCATCGATTACAGTTAAATTGAGCTTCGGTGGCCTTCTCATATACACGCATTTTGTCTGCCAACTTATCGCCGAAGATTTGGGCCATGTTTTCGCGTGCGCGAATCACGGGTAGACCAGCTAGGCTATCAGCAAACTGCGCAAACATCGGGGACTGCGACGACGATACAAGCCGCTTGACTGCAACGGCAGTTCTTGTGTACAGCTCCCCTGCAAAAACACCCACGGCGCAGCATGCTGCAGCGGGGACGATGAAAACCGGGAGCACGGAACCGACAGCTATGACCTGAAAGCAGAGCCGAGTGAGCATTTCGAAGCATGTCCGAAGCACTGCGACGTCAAAAAAGTTAGTCTCAAAAGAGCCAATTCGAGAGCTGTGGAGATGTGTAGGCTCCTATATAATAAGAGCGTCTTCTTGCACTGGGCCTCTTGGAAAAGCAACATAAATGGACGAGATATTCGCTGACGACGCCTGACTTACTCCCAGCCAAGGTTGTATCGATGGAATCCATGTCCCTGGAAAACCGGTTCACAATTCGGCCAACAGGGGTCACCTTATACCAAGAAAGGGGTACGCTCATGATGGCTTTCATCATATCGGTGTGTAGAGACCGGGCAGCAAACCAACCGCCGTTCTCATATGCAACATACGTAAGCCCACTGAAGAGTATATCCGTAATGCTCCATGCCGCGTAGATCCCAAGGTAGAAGGCAACGTTATACGCGTCGTCCCTCCCGTACGCATCTACCCAAACGGCGATCCATAATCCCGTTCCTACAAACGAAGCGGTAGAGAGGATACTCATGACGATAGCGAGCATGGCGTTGAATGAGCTGCCAAAAAGCCGCATATATTGGAAGACTGAGAGCATATATCATCAGCCCATTTGCCTTAGTGGAGGGAAGGGGTCGTGAACATTCGGTGGTGATTCTTACATTGTAAACGGGCGGTCGACCCAGTCCGAAGTGCCTCTTGAGTCACTTCATCTGGCCGTCTAGCATCGGCGTTTTTAACGTCACTGCTAGCGTTTATCCCGTTGGTTGAAGACCCGATGACTTTAGTCGTATGGGCCGCAGCCGCTTCCACAGTCACATCAAGATTGCCTTGATCGACAAGGACTTCATCTAGTACTACAGACTTCCGAATCACGCCGATGTTATGTTGGATTTCTTTCACGGAGCCATTATCTAGTACGATCGTGAGATCGGCCTGAGGCGCAACCCACGGCAGCTGAGTGACAAGAACAACAGTCCTTCCCTTAACTGTGGCACTTCAGGTTAGATAGTTTTGTCAAAAGAGACCTAGAGAAACGCGTAATACGAGACTTCTGAGTATACTCACGTAGTTCACCACAGAACGCCTCCCCCCATAATAATGCCGATGTTTTGGAATCCAGGGCCGAAAAAACGTCATCAAGTAGAATCACGGGAGCCCTCGAGTATAGCGCGCGCGCGAGGGCAACCCGAGACCTCTGGCCTCCCGAAAGTGAAGCCCCATTTTCCCCGACTTCGGTTTCGTCTCGGTCAGGAAACTCGTTCAAATCGGTCGGCAACCCGCAAGCGTTTATCACGCGTTCGTACCGCAGAGGCTCGAAGGGACTATTGAATAGGACGTTCTCACGGATTGTCTCGTTCTGTAGCCAGGGGCTCTGCGATGCGTAAGCAACATCCTTAGGACGAGTGACTGTGCCCCCCTCGAGGATGGTCTCGCCAAGCATCGAAAGAAGCAACGTCGACTTCCCGCTACCGCTCTGGCCCGTTACTACATTTAACCCGCCCTTAACGAAATTGATGGAAATATCTCTCAAAGCAAATGAGGCCTTCTGGCTACGTCTAAAAGTAGCATTGCTGATTTGAAGTGGGCCATCTGCATAGGAACGCAGCGGTGTGGCATGATGGAAAAACCGGTCTAAGCGTTTGAGGGAGACGCCCGCAGCCGTAATACCTCTCGATAGATTTGATGCCATCGACAGATTACGGCGAAGTGTTCTGACTAAAGTGATCGACGTGAAAGCGACGTCTGCCGTCAGTGGCGCCTTGCGAACAAGAGCATGTAGAGTGAACATGACGACCAGAGACATGGTCGGAATCGCTTCGGTGAGTTGACCAAGAGCAATATAACTAAAGTCTAGGTGGTTAGTACGTCCTTAGAATATGTGAGCGCTAGAGCCGGCTTACAGCATGTTCAAACCCCATATCTTTCTCTGCTCCTGCGTTCTAATCCCCCTAACCTTCTCGATGATAGCGTGCTCCCAAGAAAAGTATTTGACTGCCCTGATTGCGGTCAGATATTCGGAGATGACTGAAATTCTCGAGTCCTGTATTTTCTTCATGTCCCGCTGAATACCCACCATGCGTTGGCCGATTAGAACTGGAAGCGGGGATAACAATGCCATCATGGCGATGCCGACAAGAGCCGACCAATCTAATAGCTTATATAAGCCGATGAGGGATACGATCGACCCTGTTGTTACTCCGCAGCCGACGAGGACGATATCTCGACCCATCACGATAGCTTGGATGTCGGCGCCCATAAGGTTGGCTAAGCGTCCCGCTGAGGTAGTGTTCTGCTGGCCCACACCCTTGTCTTTGCCCGTGGTGGCAATTTCGGTGAAAACCTCGTCCTCTGGCTCCATCGATCCTATCGCTTTATAGTACAGTTCCTGCGTCAGGGCTGCTCTGACGCGCACAACTAAGCGAGTTGAAGTGAAGCTGTACTGCTGAAAGCACACGGACCGGGACAGAGGGCCTACGAATAGCAGCAGCAGCCAGACAGAAGGCCGAAAGGGAGAGGCGTCGGGATTGGATAGATATACAAGCAGCTTATACGTCGCGAACGGTGCTATCATCTCGAAAAGGAAAGACAGCGAGATCCAGCTGCCCATGGCCAGGAGTTCCGTGGGTAGGAACCGCACCAAAGTCCAAAATGTGGAGATTCCCTTTCGTCGCGCCTCTAATATCTTGGGAAGGAGGATCAGTGGCTCGTCGTACCATGGAAGCTTGGGGAGCTCGTCCAGAGTCATCTGCCGGCGCATGCCCCTTAACATGAGGGGTGTAAGCCATTCATAAGTCACATAATACTCCAGCCAGCTGCAAGTTTCCTCGGGCGATGGTTCTTGAGCCGATACCTTCTTGGTGTCGACGAGGTGTGACGACGGAGGAATCCACTCCCTTCGCGTAGCGAAAGCCGCAAAGACGGTAGCAGCCAGGGTAGATATTGCGCATATGATCATGGGGCTCATATGCCTCTCATGACCCGTATCAATGTAGGGAAGAAGCTCCGCTATCGCGAGGGAGAGCAGAGTGCCGACAAGGGTAAAGTTGACGTGGTGAAGGGCGACGTGCCTCCACTCAATATCATTCACAAGACGCGAGAAGCCGAGGACAAAGGCGTAAGTTAGAGCAATAGCATCGGCCAATCTACCATCTCCGCGGCTCGCCGCGACGACCGTGAAAGCCAGCGAGGTAGCCCGTAGGACCTGGTTGCACATCTCGGCAGGAAATGGTATCGGAGACGGGTTGCCCTCGAGCCCAGAGGTGTAAAGACGATTCAATCCATATCTGCAGAGGAGAATGACAGATAGGCCGAGGACAAAAACCTGCGGGTAGCCATTCCTAGCAACCCCGGAGGCAATGCGAACCCATTCGAGGCCAGGAGCGCTGTTGAGTCACGTTAGCTAGTGCGCCGGGCATGCAATCGTTTGAGATCGAGCGTACCTTGCCCACTCGTCCTCACTCTTGAGAATAAAGAGCGACTGGGTTTGAAGAGGCAGAGCGCCCCAGTCGGGACCTTTTAGAATTGATTGATCCATCATCCCTCATGGTTAGGTCTAAACAAACCATCTAGATGAGAGTACGACGGTTAGTCGGTAAGCAGGAGTGCCAGGCAGAAGGACAACTTGTTACTCGGTTAATTACGTGCTCGGGACCAGGACCAACACCGCAAGGATGATGGCAAATTCAGGGGATAAACCATGCCAAGCCGGGAGGGCAACGCCAATCAGTGCCTCAACCTGGGGGTGCGATGAGGACTCAGCGCTACCGGCGGAATTACTCACCTCAGGCGTATTATTTATCCATCGTGACAACGCTCTCATATAGTGGCTCCCGTCTATCTCTTATCAACGGCAACCATACTGAGACGATTATCGTGCTCATGTCTTCGGGATTGAGTGGTATAACGTGAGCGTGATAAGCATTATGAAATGACATTCTAGGTGGTGTTTTACCCTTTCTCCCTCTTTAGGCCTATCCTCTTAATCCCCCCCCGTCGCCGTTGAAGAAAGACACTACTATGTAGCTGTCTCTTAACGAAGATATCGGTTCATCTGGATGCAAGAGAATGACCATAGCGCATCCGCGATGGAAACCTGATGACTATCCGATCTCCGAGTTTCGGCCCGCAAGGGGGGGGGGGGATTATTACTCGCATCGGAATAAGATTAGTAGCCACTTCCAAGCGAATGCGGAGTGGCTCGTGTAATCACCTTCTTGTTTCCACCGCTTTCACACCTGTCCTCCACTAAATAAAACCTCATGCCGTGCTAACTGTCATATGTACTCGGCAGGTGGTGCCTGGAGTATCATGAACTCAGGTATTCAACGCTATCGAGCTGTTAGACGCATCTGACGATACGGGGAATTAATCCTGGTATTCTCGCCATTTGATCATCCTATCCTTCAAGTCTAGGATCTCGCCGTCGACAACAAACGTGCCGTCGCCGCGGTGATGAAACATCCTCCCGCCTTCTCCAGGCTTCTTACTCGGGTTCAGCCAAGCCTTGACGGGCTTCACAACCCACATCGAGTACTTGCTAACCATCTTAGTGTCCTCGACCACGCACTCGATGTTGGCGATGACGTCGGGTCCACCCACGAGCGGCGCCTTCACCTTCGCGGCTGGGAGCGCGTCAAGCCCGAAACGCTGCCATTTGTCGGTGCGGCCGCCGACGCCCCCATCCTCCGCACCGTCGTCGTTGTCGGAAGCGGAGCAGTTCCCGACGTCGACGACTACGCCAGCCATCTCTACGTCGGGAATGGCTAGGACACACTCGCGCTGCTTCTTGAGCGCCGCGAAGGACGCATCCCAGGGCCCCAGGTAGATACCGATTAAAGGCGGGGATTCATGTTGCATCACCATGTGGAAGCCCATAGTCATGACGTTGTGCGTCGAGTCAGCTAGCGAACCCGTCGTGACTAGCAACACAGGGCCGGGCTCGATGAGCCGGTAGACCTTGGATGGGGGATATGGTTCGAAGCCGTGATGGCGGTTGTCGTTGTTGCTTGGCGGCTTCTCCGCCTCGCTACCGGCCTGGCGTTTCGAAGGTGGAGGCGCGGCCTCGCCTCGTTCCTTCGGGAGCTTTCGCTTCGGGCCCATGTGGAATTCTGCACCACTAGACTCTGCCTTGAGGTAGTAACCGAAAGACGCCGGAGCGCGCAAGTGGCCTGGCGATTGGCTGCGGTTGGTATATCTTAGGTAAAGGCAACGGGGCGGTCCGACACGGATGAGTCTGCGACAGCTGGTCCGGAGGCGATCTAGGAGACACGCCATAGACGAGAAGCGACAGCTCTCTTCGGACGCAATGCGCAACGCCGATATTAAGCCCGCGCAGGGGGCGGTTGGATAATTATTGCTTTTGCATGAGCGGCAAAAGTGTTATTTCCGTGATTTTACAGCACGTATTTCCGGATACTTCAGTACCTTCCTAGGTACCTACCTAACCTCCTTCAATACTTGATCTTCCATCTGGGCAGTTACTCGTCAGACCGAGATATCTTAGGGTATCTGGGTACCTAGGTACGTATACCCGTTATCAAAAGTACATCTTTGGCGCCTCTTCATGCCTCTCAGGGGCACTGAATTGCTGGGTTATTACTTTACTACACGTACCTTTAGGAGGTGCTTGGTATACGCGTAGGCAGGGTTGAAAAAAAAAGTTTAAGTTTTTAAGTTAAGTTAAGTTTTTTTAAGTTAAGTTAAGTTAAGTTTCCATTTTCAAAAACTTAAGTTAAGTTAAGTTAAGTTAAGTTTTTAAAAAAAATTTTTAAGTTAAGTTAAGTTTTTAATTGTTTAAGTTAAGTTAAGTTTAAGTTAAGTTTTAAGTTTTTTTAAGTTTTTTTAAGTTTTTCTAAGTTTTTTTCTTTTGAAAATTCTATACTTTTAACGTATATTTATAAAACTTTAGCGTAAAATATGTAAAAAAAAATAATTTTATAATTATATTAAATTTAAAATAAAATCACGTAATTAAATATTTAATAAATATTATATAAAAAAAATTTTTTTTTTACCTATTAATACGTAATTTAGAAACTTGAAAAAAAATTTTAAGTTTTTTTAAGTTTTTTTAAGTTTTTTTAAGTTAAGTTAAGTTAAGTTAAGTTTTTAGAAAAATTTCTTAAGTTAAGTTAAGTTTCTATTTTCAAAAACTTTTTTAAGTCAAGTTAAGTTTTCATTTTTAAAAACTTAAGTTAAGTTAAGTTAAGTTTCGTTAAAACTTAACTTAAAAACTTTTTTTTACAACCCTGCGCGTAGGTACATAAAGGAGTCGCACTAATTTTACGTGTCTGATAGCTTAGATGGCACCTGTACGGGCACCTCCTCCTAATCTCTAGTAGGAGGTGGGTACCTTCATACATCGGTCTCCTCTTAGGTGCTCAGCTCCTAGGGTACAGGTACCTTGAAGTTCTCTCGGTTTAAATTAGGAGGTACCTCTTATACGGAGGTCTCAGATCAGCCCAACTAGTCCCCTGTACCTCACCCCAACCTCTAACCGGATTAGGAGATTTTGCCGAGCTTTTTCCCTGTCAACCAAACTTTATCCCTATTTCGTACAAGGGTCACTAAATTCTCCTTTCTAACCACCGTACGAACGTGCACTTCATTTATTCTTTTTCGCGATTAAAAGTTACCCTAAAAGCATTTAATAAACAATTAACTAATTAGTGGTGGTGGTAGTGGTTTGGTGGTGCAGTTGACTTGGTGGTGCAGTTGACTTGGTAGTGGTGGCAGTGGTGGCGGTGGTAGAGGCTTAAGTAATCAAAAGGATCTCACCCCAACCAACTAGTGGAGTAAGGTCGTAGGAAAGAGCCAATAGAATCTTCAGGAAGCCGTGACCCGCTTTGGGGTGAGGTTCAGGGGACTAGTTGGGCTGATCTGTAGACTCCTTATACGACATGTTTTGTCTGTTCCAGGAGCTTCCGACTACGTTATGTGACTCATCAAACTACCTCCCTCTTCATTCTCCAGTAAGCGAATAGGAGACTCTTATGAGTCTTACCTCTACACCTTCACCTACTCGTCATGTCATATGATACAGGATTGCTATTGTTTATTGCGATATCGATAAACACGCTCAGTGCCGGGCACACATCCCACACTCAGCTATGGCTTCCAACCATGGCTGGAAAGTAGAGGTGACCCCCCTTGGGACAATTCGCCTGTTGCTTAGGCCGATCGTTGCCCATTTCTTGTCGACTTTAGCTGAAGGTATTGCTGATGCTCTCGAATTCTGGGACAGCTCATCCCTTGGGATCACCAGAATCCCGACCATGTCGAGAGGCTATACGACCAACGTGTCGCCTGCGGATGGCGATCTGACGAAGTGCCCTTGGTAAGCGCGCGTGCGGCATCGTCTCCCACCTCTCATATAACGGCTCTGGACAACAAACGCATCGTCTCACTTGACCACTAGCGTGCCGTGACACTTCCAACACCCTAGAGTTGGCGTAGAAATTTTCTGTAAATAGAAATCTCTGACCTCGGGAATTGTAGTGGGTAGAGAGTGCGAAAAAAGGCGGAAAGATATTCTTTTGGATTGTAAGTTTTCTTTAGAACCATCCAGTTACCCAACACGACTAACAACGGGAGGTAGGTCCTCTCGGATGCCCTCCCGGATCGGGAGCGGGTGGTTCAAAAATTCGTCAAGGCGAGTCCAAGGGTATGTATGTTACGGGTAGATACCCGCGCGCGGGCACTTGAGCTCACAGGTTGCATAAAGGAGTCAGCTTCGTTGCGAGATACGGCGGCAGAGGTTCGGCTCGTCCCGCGCCAGCCAACCATGAGGGGTTTCAACCCCATTGGCCACGTGGCTCTCGATATTCACACACCTAAAGAAGATATGGAATTAGGTCTTCCAGCCGTCGGGACAGTCTGGATTCACCAACTATACATATCACACACGCTGCAGGGAGGTGGGTTCGGCGTCGGGACTATGTCTAAGATCGAGGCGCTGGCGGCAGCAGAACCAATAAATGCGCATTTAGCGGCTTTGGATACCGTATCGAGGGAGGTGCATATGGATCCTGAGAAGCGGACTGTCCTGTACGGGGAGGGACGTCTTCCCCCTCCGAGGGTGAGTTGTCGTCGTGATATTGATCCTGACTGAAGCGGTGCTGAATTTCGTCGGGGTGTAGGTTTCCACCGAGGAATGGTATATCAGGCTAGGGTATGAGCCATTTAGACGAAAAGCCGGCGGCTATATATGGGCCTCAAAGGATGGCGCCGACATCCCTAGTAAGTAAACCTACGTAGCCCCGGCAGCTCCACGGAGATCGCGTATCTGTGCCCCTTACCTCCCTTCTGCCCTACCCGAGACCTCTACTTGATGAGATGATAAATGGTATAAGGTCGTCCTCCGTATTTTTTTTTACATAACTGTTGACTTCTTACTAACGCCGGATGCTGTAGTGGACCTTGTGTATATGAAAAAATCGCTTGGATGATGGGTAGATTCGGATTGCGACCATTGGACACATGGCTGTACCTTGATAGTCCAGATCAGAGTCGTTCCATCCTACTAGACCGAAGTTAGCCTCGCAATGGATTGGTTGACCTCGGCTCGTAGGAGCAGGGAATGATGTGACCATACCTTGCCTCCCATCGGTGTTCCGACTTTCACATCTCACGGCGTCTAGAATCGCGTCTAGCAGAGGCGATTGGAGTGAGGTGGCTCGATGGCGCGATGAACAACAGAGGGTACGCAGCGGTCGTGAGACGCAACCTGTATGTTCCCCAAGAAGGTCCATGAGACGGCAAGTACCTGGGCTTTCTGATGCCCAACGTTTACGGGGACTTAAACGCCATCGTGTAAATGGTAGCAGGGTAGTATTGCGTCGGGAAGAATAGTTTCATCTGCTTGCTGCGAAGAATAGTGAATAACAGCTGGCCATTTCATGATGGCTCAACGGCTTGACGGCACGCAATGTCGAGAAGCACATGCAAGACAAGTCATCGAAGGAGGAGGATGTGAGGCGACCTGTCAGACAACTCAGCCCAGGGAGAAGCTAGGAGGGGGATTGGCGGAGGGGCAGAAGTCGTGTGGAGAGAAGAGGGGGAGGGGGGGACGGATGAGTGTTGGCCAGCATAGGGCTGTTGAAGAGCGCCTAGTTCAAATAGGAGGAGAGGGCGTGTACGGATGTTGGATGTGAGATACGTAGGGAGATGTGCATGCCATACACACACACACGCCTACCCGCCTACACCCTGCATACTACGTTAGGTAGTATGGATGTGTTCAGAGCGGACGTGTACGAGTGCATAGGTAGGTAGTTGGAGGCATATGGAGATATGGATCTCTGTGCCGTGCCGTACATGGCTTTTGCTCGGGCTATAGGCGAGTAAGGCTACCTGGAAGTACGGAAGGGTTCGAGGGGGGGAAATCCGGGGATGGGGGGTTTGACGTGGGTGACGTGGGTGACGTGGGTGACGTGGGTGACGTGACCCCATGCCCCAGCAACGTGCGCGAGGGCCAGTGGGAAAGCACGAGCCAACACGGACGGCGCACAGACCTTAGGTACCTAAGTGCTCTGCGCCCCGCTAGTCGACTCCAGCCACGCGCAAGTCACTGGACAACGTGTGCAGGAACGGAACGCGACTTCGCTTGCCTTCAACTTCGGACGAGGCTTCCTACACATCCTCCGTCGGACCTTCCAAACACCCCCTTCCGACCATCCCCACCAAGTCGACCCAAACCCGCCTATTCCTCGCCTTCCTTTCCTCCTCTGTCGCCCTCCATCCTCCTTTCGCTATTACAATTATTGGGCCGTCGTCGTCCACCCTGCTTGAACGCCTCGAGACTCGACGTTGCGACCCAACCTCGTTGTCGCATTGGGCAGGATGGCGGCATAATACATAATAGTCCAGCTTTACCTCTCGTCCACCCGTTTGTGCTTGCACCTGTGGTCGAACAAGTCTGGATTGGACCACAGCCAATATCGCAGTCCATTGAACGCGTACCGGCCGCTGTGAGAGCTTACGAAGAAGTAAACAGCCCTCTCCCCCCTGCCTATCTGCTTATGTGCCTGTCCTTCCGAAACATCAACAAATCGACTCTCATCCAGATGCCACCTAACTTCTTCCTGAAGCAGTCGAAAAACAAGATGCAGGCCTGGGTTACCAGCAGCGGGGTTGCGAACGGCCAAGGGGCTCCCGCCATCCCGGGTTCAGGGCCGGCATATGATAGCTCGAACCATTTCCAGAAGCGCCACGTTTATCTACCGCAACCAGCGCCTCCAACGGTCCAAGCCGCCCAGGTACCGCAACTGATGCAAACATCGCAAACATCTCAGAAATCCCCCCCGCGATCCCGCGCACCTATCATCAACGCGAACGCTGGCCGGGCGGCCGCGGTTACAGCAGCGCGCATACCTCTCCCTAGCAGCCGGACTGGTCACACCCGAGATGCGTCAGCCAACATGCCACGAACAAGGTCGATGGCCTCGGAACCCGTCCAGTCTCCCCAGAGGCCAGTGCCGTTCTGGGAGGGTTCGACCGCGGAGGGCTCCATGTTTAGCGATTCCGCTAGCAACGCTGACGCGAGCACGGCAGTCACCTCGATGTATCGGATGCCGTTTCGGGCGCCCTCTTACCAAAGAGGAAGCACCCCACACCCTGGCCCTATCGCGAAGAAGGGCGTTAATGCTCCAGACCAGCATCCCCCATTTATCATTGGCCCGACTGGTATCATAGACGTGGTGGGAGCTCCGCTGACCAGAAGTGCGTCAACCCCCGACGCCAGGAAACACCACCGCGGTCGCCTGAAGGGAACGTCTTCCCCGGAACCTGACGACTCAGAGGACAGCCCGTATCAGACGAGCCCAGAAAGGACACCCTCTGCGAAGCGACTCCACCATCCCAAACCATTGGCTTTGCTTGCCGGTCGTCGAGGTTCCTTCTCCGAAAGAGCTGCTTATTCTCAAGGAGACAACGTCATATCCCCACCCCCCAACCGAGCGCCACAGGGCCCCAGCAACGATGCAGATGAAGTGCGATCCGAACATTCCGTACACCTGAAAACCAAGACGCAGGAGCCCCACAGGTCGACCATTTTTGCTGATACCGACACTCCTATGGTTAGCCAGCGCGACGAGTCGGAGACCGAGAGCGTCGATCCGCAGCCTACCCCCAAGCCGGTTGCCAAGCCCAAGCCTCAGGTCAGTCGGCAACTCTTTGCTAAGGGCAGCAGGGCCCGACTGGGCGGGCTAGGCGGCCTTCATGAGAGCCCGATGCCTCGTCCATCAGCAGAGAGACGTAGCTCAAACCCTAAAAGGCGCCATTACGAGCTAGACTACGACGACGGCGCATTGGCATCGATGGACTATGCTGAATTGAGGAGAGAGGTGTTCGACTTCGACCCAGCTCAAGCAGAAGCGCAATCAGCAATTGGCCCCCCTCGAGGCACGTTACCGGAAAAACTCCGTCATTTCATAGATAAGGACCAAGCGAGCCAGATGGAATTCTTTACCAAGATGCCTGTAAACGACTGGGAGTCCTCAGGCGATTGGTTTCTAGAAAGGTTCGGTGAGATCGTGCAACGATTCAAAGACGCCCGCCAGGCGAAACGCTCCATGGTGGCGAGGTTCGAACATGAGATCGCGGAGCGGGGCGAGGCCGTGAGGAATAAGATACAGGGAATCGATCACACCCTTTCCGAATTGAAAAGCGAGGGCGAGGGTATGATGTCGGGCAAGGAGTTCGATTGACGGCGAGCTTTGCGACGGTACAGGAACTCCCTCGCACGACGGGACCCTCGCGCCTGGTGGTTTTTTCCTCCCTCGATGCGCTTGGGCCTCAGCCAGCGGCTGCGGAACAATCGAGAAATCCCGTAGTAGTTTAGGTGTTGAGGATTGGTACGGTTACGCTGCATGGTGTTGGGGCGTGGCATTTGCTCTCCTAGACAAGCTCCTATCCTGTTTTCTTTCTTCGGGGCGCACAAGGATATCACCGGATTGTGATGCCAAGGGAAACCACCTGGTAAGATACCCATTTGCTCTCACATATTAAAGGAAAATTGTCTGCTTGACTTTTCTATCTCTGCCAACAACTAATCTCAGCTGACATCCTGGCTTACCCGGGAACAAGCCACTCCTCAGCTTGTCGGAGAATAGCTCATAGGCGGGATAATAAGCATCAACAAATTTGACGACTTGGGCGTCGGTCATACCCGTCCCTTTTTGACTTCGCAGCATTATTTCCTGCTCTAACCTCCAGTCGTAGACCCATTGGGTATCTTCGGCGTCGATGTGGATGAATGCATCGAACATGTCCGTGATGGCGTCGTAGTCCCGAAGGCGGTCGTTTATGAAAGTCAGGTGGTCTAGAGGATGTCGGTGCAGCGTTCGGCTCGGCGCATCCCTTTTCTGGGATACCTCGGCGGGGGCGAGCGGCCGGAAACCAACGCACCAGCCCTCGAAGATGACGATGCGAATTCTAGGCTGCCCCGGTTCGTTGACCGTCTCCCACTGGGACTCCGAAACTCTGTCACCCTGGCCCGAATAAGCCGACTTGTCGTACTGGGGGACTTTGACCTGCTGGCCGTGATTCAAAGCTGTGAAGAAATCTCGAGCTAGTTGCACGTCGTGGGTACCTAAACAGGCGATCTCGTTAGGAACCAGCATCGAAGTAGTTTCCGCTTGAGCAAGAAACGGTACTCGTACCTGGTTCGCCCCGAACCTGGACCAGCGAGTTCCCCGGGTGGGACTCTGCAAGCGCCTTCTGATCTTGACGCGTCAGGTAGAAGTCGTCGATGCTGCAAACCAGGGTTTGCAGACCCTCCCCTTCTTGTAGTTTGGAGGCGAGGGCTCTAACCAGGGTTGTCTTGCCGGCGCCCTGGACACCGTTGAGCCCGATGACGAAGGGCCTCGTCTGGTTGGTCGCGTTGTGGACCTTGAGGCGCTCGAGTATGAAAGGGATGCATATGGGGCTCTTGTCGTCGATGATCTGTGTTCCCGACATCTCAGCCAGGTCCTCCAATCGATTATCACGTAGGTATCGAGTTCATCTGGCGAAATATGCGGGCTCCGTATAGGTCGGGACAGGCTCGTTCGGTTGGGCGACGGGTTGAGATCTTGCTAATCGCGTTGCTCTTGTGATCGGCTGGATTGCGGCTGCAGGTACCTACAGGGACCATTCGGGTATTCGGGTATTGCCATTCCACGGGGAGGGAGCTCGATGGGACCCGGCCGTCTGTTGCCAATGTACACAGCCACACGGGAAATGCGCTGGCGGTACTTACGGAACTGTCTGCATGGCTGGAGTATTTATATGCCTAGCGTGTTATCCGACTCCAACCTGCGTGGAATTTGCGGAGACGGGGGGAAAATGCGGGGAGGCAATGAGAGCTACAGGACGCCTCGACCTTCCGCAGTGCAATCTTACCGTACCCGACGTGGCAGAGGCGTTAGAAGAATAGTACTTGTCAGCCCTCACCGTCTATCACGTGGAGTGAGAGGTCAATTGCCCGTCCGTCCCACGTCATATTCGCGTATTCTTACACGCACCCTTACAGGCACGGAATCCTCTGCGATGGCGACGCTAGGAAGCGTGCAAAGACAAGAAGAGGTTGAGAGACGACGGCATTGGCACGTGAACGTTGGAGGAGCGTGGGGAAGCAGGGGAAGCAACCGCAATCACCTCTGTATCTAGGTACGTACGTAGGTACGTAGCGGCTTAGGATGGGGTTTGGGGGTACCATGTAAAGGGCAGGTTTGAGGGATTGTAGTAGGTAGTCATACGTAGGTACCTTAGGTACCTAGTTAACTACCTTAGAAGTACCTTCGCATCTGGGGTTAAGTCCGACCTCCCGGCAGGTGGTAAGCGGCCTGCTCGGCACGGCGGTTTGTTGGATCTGTCCGTCACAGCTTAGGTTAGGTAGAGGTACCTAGCTAGGTAGGTAGGAGGCGGTTACCTGCTAGGTACCTAGTTACCTGTTATCAGGCAGCTTCGGCATGTGAACGGCAGCTGGCTGCCTTTCCTTTCCTTTCCTCTCCTACCTGCGTAACCTGTGTACAGTACCTACATCGATGCAGGGTCGGCCTGGGCGCCCACCTATAGGTAGGTATGTACGTACCGTAGGTACTTACTTACGTAGAAGGTTGCAGCAATAATCTGGGGCCCCTCGGCATTCTTGCCAGCTTATTCCCAAGCTGCCTCGGCTGAATGGTCGGAGGTCAAAAGCGGCACATTGGCACGTCCGTAATGACCACATGTTTACAACCCCCGATTGACAAGCTCTTTATTGCCTGCGACTACTACTACCCGAGTCCCGCCTCTCGTGATAGCTCCTCCTGTCGTGTCCTAGGAGCCTCCCCGATCATCAACCAGAGAGATCTCCTATACATTGCCCTTACCCGCTCTCTCTTCTCCCGTCCCTTTCCTTTTCCTTGCTCCACCCATCCTCTCCTTAATACCTCCGTCGCCGACACCAGATCGTCCGCATCATGTCAGCGGAATTGCGCTTTGACGACCAAGTCGTCGTCGTCACCGGTGCCGGTGGCGGCCTGGGTAAGGCCTATGCCACCTTTTTCGCTTCGAGAGGAGCTAAGGTGGTCGTCAACGACCTGGGCGGATCATTTAAGGGCGAAGGCCAGTCGAGCAAGGTAAGGAAGGATGCGACCGCCTGTTCGACTCTATCTCCGCCGGCCAATTCGACGGCGCAGCTCGGTACTCGTATCGAACATGATTGCTAACCTGTTTGTTGCGACACGTCTAGGCCGCCGATGTAGTGGTCGACGAGATCAAGGCCGCTGGCGGCACAGCCGTCGCCAACTACGATAGCGTCGAGCATGGCGAGAAGATCATTGAGACCGCCATCAAGGCATTCGGCCGAGTTGACGTCCTCCTCAACAACGCTGGCATTCTCCGGGATATCAGTTTCAAGAACATGACGGATCAGGACTGGGACCTGGTCATGAAGGTACACGTCAAGGGTACCTACAAGTGCGCTCGCGCAGCCTGGCCATACTTCCGTAAGCAGAAGTACGGTCGTGTCATCAACACCGCGTCGGCCGCCGGCTTGTTCGGCAGCTTCGGCCAGGCCAACTATTCTGCAGCAAAGCTCGCCATGGTCGGGTTTACCGAGACCCTCGCTAAGGAGGGCATCAAGTACAATATCATCTCCAACGCCATTGCTCCTATCGCTGCGAGCCGCATGACCGAAACCGTCATGCCTCCGGACGTCCTGGAAAACCTAAGGCCCGAATGGGTGGTCCCGCTTGTTGCCGTTCTAGTGCACAAGTCCAATACCAAAGAGACCGGTGGCATTTTCGAAGTCGGTGGCGGCCATGTCGCTAAGATCAGGTGGGAAAGATCGAGCGGTCTTCTCCTCAAGGCGGACGATACCTACACGCCGGGCGCTATCCTCAAGAAATGGGACAAGGTTGTCGATTTCTCGAACCCTCAGTACCCCACTGGTACTAACGACTTCCTCGGTCTTCTTGAGGAATCCTTGAAGCTGGGCCCGAATGACCAGGGGGAGAAGCTAGATTTTACTGGTCGAGTTGCCCTAGTTACGGGTGGCGGCGCCGGCATTGGCCGAGCCTATTGTCTTGCATTCGCTAAGCATGGTGCATCGGTTGTCGTTAACGACTTGGTCAATCCTGATGATGTTGTGAATGAGATCAAGAAGCTTGGTGGCAAGGCTGCTGGTGTCAAGGCATCCTCCGAAGAAGGCGAGAAGGTCGTAAAAGCCGCCGTCGACGCTTTTGGCCGTCTCGACATCATCGTAAACAATGCTGGTATCCTTCGGGACAAGGCTTTTAGCAATATGGACGACAGCCTTTGGGACCCCGTGCTAAACGTGCATCTGCGAAGCACGTATAAGATTACCAAAGCTGCCTGGCCCATCCTCTTGAAGCAGAAGTACGGACGTATCATCAATACCACCTCAACCAGCGGCATCTACGGCAACTTCGGTCAGGCTAACTATGCAGCGGCGGTAAGTGATGGGAGCTGGAAACCCGTGACGATGTGTAGTATACTAACGAACCGCAGAAAGCTGGTATTCTCGGCTTCTCACGCACGGTTGCCCTCGAAGGTGCCAAGTACAACATCTACTGCAACACAATTGCCCCTAACGCAGGAACGGCCATGACGCGCACCATTCTACCCGAGGAGCTAGTGCAGGCCTTCAAGCCCGACTATATCGCCCCTCTTGTCCTTGCCCTTAGCAGCGACAAAGTTCCCAAGAACCCCACGGGCTACTTATACGAGGTTGGCAGCGGTTGGTGCGGCCGGACAAGGTGGCAGCGCTCTGGTGGTGTTGGTTTCCCTGTGGATGTGAAGCTGGTCCCCGAAGAGGTCGCCAAGAACTGGAGCAAGATCGTCGACTTCGACGACGGTCGAGCAGACCACCCGGAGAAAGCCCAGGATTCGGTTGCAAAGGTCATGGAGAATATAAGCAACAAACGAGGGGCATCCAAGGTATGATTGGCCTCTCTTTCCGACGTTACACTCCCAAACTATCTTGTGTATGTCTACACACATATATAGATACAGATATAATATATATGCATCTGTATTATGCAACACTCTAGTCTAGCATACGAACGTTGGGCGTTAACAAACATCTGCATAGAAGGTGGCCGGGGGCAACCAATATCTTGAGGCCCAGAAGAAAGCTCTAGCTGCCGAGTCGCCAGCGACCGAGTTCGCCTACACGGATCGTGATAGTATGCTATACAACCTTGGTGTTGGTGCCAAGAGAACCGAGCTAGCTTATGTGTTCGAGGGTGCCGAGGACTTCCAGGTTCTGCCGACCTTCGGCGTGATTCCCCAGTTCGACGCCGCCATGCCCTTCAACTTTGACGAGGTTGTGCCCAATTTCTCGCCTATGATGCTTCTGCATGGCGAACAGTACCTCGAAATTAAGAAATACCCGATTCCGACGGCAGCCAAGACGCGCAACTTGGCGAAGCTAATCGAGGTGGTGGATAAGGGCAACGCGGCAGTGCTGAAGAGCGGCGTGACAACAGTCAACGCCGAGACTGGCGAGGAGCTATTCTATAACGAAGCGACCGTATTCCTGCGGGGCTGTGGAGGCTTTGGTGGCCAAAAGAAACCCGCAGATCGCGGCGCCGCGACAGCTGCGAACGCGCCGCCTAAGAGGCACCCTGATGTTGTCGTTGAGAGCCCCACGACCGAAGAGCAGGCTGCTGTCTACCGGCTCAGTGGAGACTACAAGTAAGTTACATACCCCTACCCTACTTTTCTCTGGAACTCAGTTGCTAACGCATCTCGCTTAACCCAGCCCCCTGCACATTGACCCCAACTTCGCTAAGATGGGGGGTTTCAAGGTACCAATCTTGCACGGGCTATGCTTTATGGGTATCGCGTCCAAAGCCGTATACGAGAAATTTGGGCCGTTCAAGAATATCAAGGTGCGTTTCTCCGGCACGGTACTGCCCGGACAGACCATCGTCACGGAGATGTGGAAGGAGGGCAACGGCAAAAAGGTCATCTTCCAGTCCAAGGTGAAGGAGACCGGAAAACTCGCCATCTCGGGCGCAGCCGCGGAGCTCGTTGACAAGGATGCCGAAGGGCAGAATAGCAAGTTATGAGATATGGATATGTACGTGTGCGGACTACGGGACGGCTTGAAACGATGTAAAGGGCATGCTTATTCTGCATAGGAGTTGAAAGTGGTAGTCTTCCCTTCCCCCTCGCTTTTGAATAATATTTGTACCTATATATTGGCTGTTTTACCTATTTGAGAATCCAGTGTAGATGGAGCCCGGCCCCTTTTTATGCCTGCGAGTAGTAGCCTTCCAAGTCGATATATAATTTTGGATACTGTTTAGGAACTCTGTACAAGTGAACGGACAACCGAAAGCACCCGCCCCTTTTGTGGGCGAGTAAGTACTTCGTATGCTACCGTCAGTGCCCACCTCTGCCGGTTCGCGTTGGACAATGCCGGAAAACGAGAGGGGGGGCGGGAAGCAGAGCAAAGCGGCTTTCACGTACCTACGGTTCTGCTCGGAGACCGCAGAGAGTCGCGTCCATTAGCCGTCGCGCCTTTGTCAACCCCCTCCCTACTATCAGTTCGAACCGGCCGATACCCCGGCTCTTCGCCGCACCTGGACGGCGAGGATATTATCGCGGCTGGCGTGGTAGAGGAGACGGAAGATAGCCGGGGGTCAACGGAAGTAGTCTCCCCGACCATCGATACGAAACGTCTGGAACTACTGAGAAGTGTTCCCCCTGCGTGCATGATAAAATTACCTACTCATGTTGGCTATGCCCGTGGTTGGGGTATGGATGGGCTAGAGTTGGTGTTACTGCTAGCTCTTGTATACGGAGAGAAAAGGAAAGGAAAGCCGGGGAAAGAGGTATACATATACTACCATATGAATAAGGTGCCGCAAATAGGGAGATCCGGTGCGTTGTTACCGAGTTAGACGCAAGACTGTTATCCTGTTTACGGATAGATATTAACATGTAAACAGTGCTCACGCTATTCGTGCTTACTCCTATGCTATGCGTGTATGAAATACCTTCATGTTTTCGAATATGCAGATGAAGCAACCCCCTTCCCCGGCTCGCGTGTCGACCTGGCCCATTTCGTCGTTATACAAATAAGGAGCTGACAACAACGTCCCAGAATTCCTCAATAGTTGGTATTCTACCGCGCGGGAGCCACCGGTTGAGAACCATGTCTCCTAGACGGAAATCACCTACCTCGTTATTCTCGAGGTATGCTCTTTCGGCATCAGATAGCTCGCGCATCTCGGTTTTCCTCCATCTTCGCTCTGCCTCCTCCTTTGCTTGTCGAAGAATTTCTTCAATATTTTCAGCCTCCCATAGATTACACTTATCACACTCTCTACACCGCCGTCCGTCGCCCTCGGGTCGGAAATGTTGACAGAAATGCTGATACCCCTCATTCTCTCCACCAATGTCCTTACGGCAGACGTAGCACATCTTGTAGCCGCAGGGACAGGTCAATTTGTTGCACCCGGCTGTCTTGACGAACGACGTGTTGCAGCGGGGGCATACGCGTTTAATAGCCATCGACATTGCTTGCTCGACCTGTGTGCGCAGAGCGATAAGAGATGATTCGTGGCAAACATGAACATCCACCCATGCTTTCGAGCATGATATGCAAGACGGACGACCGCAGGATGGGTTCTGGCAATGAAATTTCAAGCCACGGCGGCGACGCTGGTACCGGCCGAGCGCCTCGTTGATTTGCCGGTATACCCTCTCCCTAAATGACCTATTCAGATACAGAATGGTATAGGCTAGTGCTAGTATTATTATGGGTAAGGTCAGCGGTAAGAGGAGCAAGGTAATCAACGCGAGAAGAATGTTGGCGAGACTCCTGGACCGTAGCTTTAGCCGCGACGCGTTCGTCGGCAAGTATAAATCGTCGACCTCTGCGTAAGTGCAGAACGGACACCGAATCAGGGATAAACCGCTGGACAGGAGGCTATGCTCTGCCAGGCGCTGATCGAGCTTGCGTAGGATCTCGTCCCCGTTCTTCCCCCCGCTCATGGCCCGACACATGTGCTCCGATGATATGCAACCTTGACACTCCACCGATGCGACAGCAGGACACCGGAGGGTGCCCGTGTCTTTGTCGATGCTACGATGCCAACCTTGGCCAAAGACGGCCTCGGTAATAGAGTGTCGGACGCAATTGAAGCAGACCATATGTCCCTCGGCGCTGCAGGCGGTGAATTCCTCGAAGACGCCGTCCGAATAGCAGCAGTTGCACTCGTATGTTGCTTCACAGGCTTCGGCTTCCTCAGTATGCAAGGACATGGCTAAGACGTAGTCGCGTTCCTCCCTCGCAAGCTTCTCGCGTTGCTGCAATGGCACGATCAACTCCTCGAATAACTCTCTGTCCAACTCCGGACTGCCTGTGGGTTTCAGGGTCGGTCTCGAGGGTCCGTCGTCGAAAGGCTTCCATATAATAAGGGGGTGCGTTTCCGCCTCAGCAGAGGTGACAGGTTTACGACGGAAGAACAGAGAGGATATGGTAAACTTCCACGACTTGGACGATAGGTCTACTAGAGTCGGTCGGGCGTCAAGATAAGAGTGGTTGAATTCGGACAAGACAGCGTCGATGACGGATTTAGACAAGCCCTTGAATTCCTGCAACGCTAGGGATCGCACCGCGTTCCTGTACTCTGTTGTTCTGAAGGCCTCGGTGCGCGAGACGAGGGTATTCGAAGCGGGACCGTCCTGATCGGCCGCTCTCCGCCGGCCCTTGACAAATTCGCCAGGATTCTTGAGCAGCTTGTCAGTGATGATGAATAGCCGGGATTCTTCGGAAAAGGACGCGAGCATTTCCCTGAACACTTCGACTTGGACGTCGGGGAAGAGCGAGGCGAGGATTTCTAGGTTTTGGTTTAGGTCGAGCACATCTTGGGACGGCTGGGTAACGGGTTGGAGCTGTGACTCGTCCGCAAGATATTCAGACGAGGAGCCATCGAGAGCTCGGGGTCGCGAGGGCGAGACGTCGGGAGAGTGTGTAGATACCTTGGACCTATGCGATCTGGAGGAACCCCTCCTCCTCGATGGGGCACTCAGCAATCCTGATAGGAACATATTTCAGGCCGGGTCAGGAGAAGTGAGATGGGCGAGGTAGGTATAGCATGGTACCTAGATGGTAAGCTATCGTCAGTGTTGATTGGGCGTGCAAGCGTGAGCATCTGGGGCGCGAATTAATCCGGAATAGGAGGGCTGACTGGGGTATATTCGTTGGCATCCGTCCGTCCCTGATCACACGGATAGATTTATTTATAGGTCTGGGATTGGTGGGCGACTGGGCGGGAGAGGGCGTCGTGGGGAGGAAGCTAACAGCATGTATATGTATATATCGGAGAGGAAGGAGGGGAAAACGAAGAAGAAATGGAAGAAGCAGAAGGAGGCAACGCCTGAGGCAAAGAGACGAAAGAGGACGAGGTGTCAAAATGAAGCGATCTAGTTCACATAACGCGTAGGATGACAAGGCGAGCGAGCGGGATATCCGCAAAGGACGGGGGGGTGATAAATACTATGTACCTAAGTACAGATATGGATAAGGAGGGTTATACTTACCATAGGGACGCGCCATTATATCCAGCGGGGGCGACCCTGCGCAGGCGCACCCGGGAATTAATGTGCCACAAAGCCATCGGTAGTATATAACAATCCATAAGAGTCGTCTGAATCAATGAGCACAGGCTCAGTGGTCTAGTGGTAGGATTCACGCTTCGGGTAAAGCCAATCCCAGAAAATGGGAGAAGTTGTGTGAGGTCCCGGGTTCAATCCCCGGCTGAGCCCGAATGATTGCAGCTTTTTTATGTCCTAGCGGACAATAGCTAGAGAATAAATGCGCTGTGTTCCTCTGCCCTTTCGGCTGCCTCACCCAATTGCCGAACCCTTCAACACCCGTCCGCCTCTCGTCTTAGGCTACAGCGTTGATCTCAGTATTTCTTTTGTATTTGGTTGGTCGGGTTTCTCGAGCGCATGCTCTTCAAATAACGACTATGGTCATAATATAATCTTTTTGCGCCTTGCTTCTCTAAGATTATACGCTAGAATGGGTGTGCGGAAGATAACGTGTAAGAAAATGTATTGCGACATTGTCAGTAGTTTCTGAAAAGCCGTTCAGTTTGGAAGGGTCCACTAGTATCCCAACACAATCTTTATCTGCTTCCTTAGAAATATGTAGACTTGAGAAAAATAAAGTCCAGGAAGCAGAGAGAAATAGACGGGCTGGCTGGCTTGAGGATTTACAATTTGAGCTTGCTGTTGCGCGTACACGACACCGACCACCCGCGTCGGATTTGTTGGGTGTAATAATGCCAGCTTCAACAAAAAGGTATAGGTATACTTGTAAGGCCGGGAGGGGAGGGGAGGGGAGGGGACCGGGATCTCCCTGTACTACGTAGGTCAAGGTAGCTTCATCCATCTGGCCTGTCGTAGAATGTAAACCGGCTGGCTCTCTGCATATGCAATCACCGCAGAGGCTGCCTACCTACGTCTTCTGTTTCTGGTCCTCCTGCTCGCTGTCCCCCACACCGACGATGACCACCGCAGACTTCTCCGACTGGTCTGTCTCCTCCGGCCTCGTCTCCTTGGGGTGGTTGCCCTGCGTCCCCAGTCGGATGAAAGGGGATACTAGGAGGCTCGTTGCCGCAAACGCTACCGATACCTGAAAGGTTCTCGTGAACTTCAGCATTGGATCAGCCGTGCCTTCTGCGGTCTGCTGAACAGTGCTGAAGACGGCCGTCGAAATTCCCATCACGACGGTGTTAGACAACCGGATCACGACGTTAAAGATCCCTCCCGCTAGGGACTGCTGGTGCTTAGGCAGCGATTGCATCACATACATCTAATGCCGGTTAGATGGAAGTCGTTTGGAGGAGTTTAGTTACTAAAGTACAACTCACGTTGGCAACATTAAATTGGAAGTCCGCCCCTGCAACGTTGAGGACAAGTGCAGGGAACATGAAGGCCCAGTAGCTACTCTCCTGCTTCATGAAGGAGAGCAATAAGCTAGCACCGACATAGCACGCAGCACCGAAGACCATAATGCCAGTGTTATTGATACGATGCAGTATCCGACCCGCGATGATATTCCAGAGCAGCCCCGCAATGGCCATCGGGAGGAGGCGCACGGCGACCATGAGGGTGGTCAGACCCTGAATTTCCTGCAGGAAGAAGGCAACCCAGAAGCCACTCGCCGTAAAGCTCATGGTGCCGAGAAGAATGACGCCGATTATCTAGGAGAATTAGTATCGCGGTTATAATTTTCTTTGGGAGCGCAGGGTCGTTTACAAGACTGAAATTCCGGTCCTTCCAGATGTATGGAGGCATTAGGGGGGTCGAAAATGACCTCTCCCACACCACAAAAAAGATCAATATAGCGACGCCAACGACAAGCAACGCGATGACGGTCGCCCAATTCCAACCCATCTCAGGACCTAGACTGGCTTCGATCAATACTTGAACCGTATCAACAAGAGCGACGACGATAACTTACGTTAGGCCCGCAGTGAACATGCCCGTCCCGGCAACCGTCAGCATCGTGCCTACATAATCAAAGTGCTTCAAGCTATTCAGCCGCTCCCGAAACGGAGCCCGGTCAAAATTCTCTACATTCGGGACGGCCCAGATGGCATGGACGGTGAGGACGGCCCAGATGATGCACAGCATGATGAACGCCGCGCGCCAACTGGAAAGCTCGGTCGCGATACCGCAGAGGATGGTGCCAAAAACGAAGCCGAGCGGGTTGCCTGCGCTGAAGGCTGAAAAGGCCATGTTCTTCCGTTTCGACGGCGTCGCATAGGCAGCGCCCAGTATCCCGATGGCCGGAGGCACTACCATGGCGGAACAGGCGCCGAGGATGCCGCAGACCACCAGCATCCAGAGCGGGTTCTGGGCAAACGCGACCAGTAGCACAAACGCGCTGAAGGATCCCATGCCCGTGACGAACATGGCCTTCCGGCCTAGGAGGTCCGCCAGCTGCCCCAGCCCGAGCTGGAGTGCCCCGGCTACAAGCCTAGATTTGCATATTAGCGCCGGCGAGGCGGGGAGACCATGAGCCTACTACGCGGTCTACACGTACGACGTCGAAGCGCTGATCCATGCTATCTCGCCCTGGGTCATGCCCAGATCGCGCGAGACGGGGACCGTGATGATTAGGGCGACGCCCGACAGAAACGAGGTCGTGGCGGTCGCGACGGTCGCCTGAAAAACGAAGGAGATCTCTTGAAAGGTGTTCTTGAAGCATTCCGGGCGATCCCCGAAGTGCGATGCAGCCTTCTGAAGTGTCGGCAACCCATGTTCCGCGTCGTCATTCGCAGCCGGCCCCCCCTCGGCAGAAATCGCGGCTTGGTGCGGCGCTGCCCTTGTCTTGCTGGCTTTGGGCTGCTCCGGCGGCGCCTCGGCGATCTCGGAGAGCTGGTCCGACGGCATCCCCACGGTCATCGCCTCCAAGACGACGACAAGGAACTTCCCAAGTGACTTGTCCGCTACGCAGCACGTAAACAATGCCCGTATAATCGAGGGGTCTCTCGCGCCCAAGCCTCGGATAGCTGCTCGACTGTGCTTTAAACCCCGGCGTAAAAATTAGCAGTACCAACTGTTGAAGGCCACCGTCTTGGCAATATGTATTTTTGCACAGTTGTGCCACCCATGAACGACGCGGTAAGGCGAAATATGCCCCGGGGTCCGAGTCGCCACTAGGTAATAATAATATATGGTGTGATTGGACCCCGGTAATGGTGAGCCATCCGATATTTCAATCTTTATCGGATACGTACATATCATGTACTACATAGGTACATAGACACAATCGTTGACGCCGCACAACATGTTAGCGAGGTGTTCCGTTATCGGGCTGGGGACGAGCAGCAATTCTGGAGAAATTCCAGCAAACATTGGTAAACGTCGAATACATCATTGAAATGTTCAGCTAGTGCCAACTATTTGTTCGCACACAGTATGCTCAGCTCGTCCGAGCACTACCACACACCTCACAATGCTAGCCAAAGAGATATATCAAGTTACATCTTGTTGCTACCGTTGTTTGTTCGGTAGATCGCTAAATCGGGGTGCCCGACTTCTGGATGGAGATAATTCCATCCATCTCCGTCTCGGGACGCCACGCGAAGCTTCAATGAGCCTCCTCGATTCGCATGGGCCGTATGTCGGCATTTCACTGTCGTAGTTTCGACCGCTCTCTTTTCTCGACCTTCCCTTATGTCCGAGGGCTCCTGAGGAAACCGACTACGCCGCCACAGTAGCTCACTAGACTGTCCAACCTTCCGCACTCATCCGCCTGGCACCTCTTCCACTCCCCAAGCGCGTGCTTGAGGGCGTCGCTTTGTAGGATTAGATCGAAGTGCAGCCGTAGGAAGACGGTCATCCACGCCTGTGTCAGCTCGTAGTCGCGGCGTGTCATGAGGCGGCTGGTAAGTGCGCGGATGAAGTGGAGAAGCTCATTCGAGTCGTCGCTATCCCCGGGCGTAAGGGACCGCAACTCGAGATCAGCCGTAGCCGGGGCAAGAGATTTCAGATATTCGATGAATTCGTCAACTATAGAGGGTTAGTTCACGAGTGGTCAAGCACCCAAAAGCAGCTGATGGCTCTTACAATTACCACCAACGGCCCCTGCTTGTAGTTTGCGTGTGAATGCTTGCTCCACTCTGTTGCGGTCGAAGCGGACGATCCTCGATTGACCCTGATCCTCATCACTTTTTCTCTGGACCAATTCCTGGTTTGGCGCTCCGGCGCTGACCGTCGACGGCAAAAAAAAGGGGGCCTTTTCTGGGGCTTTGGGTGGCTCCATCGGTTTATTCCTCGTCTTGATTAGATCGAGGTGCAGAAGTGTCTGCCATCTGCTTCGTGGAACCAAACTCAGAGTCATCATGTCGCTGCTGAGCTGGTCTACGTCGGGCGGCGCAACGTCGTCTTCGTTTCTCTCTGACCCCATATCCTCGAAGGCCACCTCTATGAGCCCTCGACCCCCCTCTCCTGATGCTGTCGGTCCCGATACCTGCTGGACTGCATCTTCGGATATTTGCCGGGTTGACACATGAGCGAACAGCGCTTTGTTGGTCCAAATGTCGACGCCGAACTTTCCCTCAGAAGCCGTAGCGAGATACTCACCTGTTGCCGAGATGGCCAACGCAGTGCAAGGCTTCTCTAGGCGGATGACATCGATAAGGTGGCCCGTCGGGAGATCCCAAACGCGTATCATAGTATCTCGAGAAGCTGCTATTATCCAGCGACCATCACTCGAGAACGCGAAATCATTGATCTTGTCCCGGCATCCCCAAAATTCTCGTATCGTCTGTTTCGTTTCGATGTCAACAACCCGGATAGAGTTGTCATCACACGAGAAAGCCATCAGGTCGTTTGCGGCATGATAACGAGAGCCTGTGACCCCTGTCGTCGGAACCCAGCTGATTTCCTCAAGCAGATTTCCCGTTAGAAACTCCCAGAATTTCACCTTGCCATCTAGCGAGCAGCTGATCACGTTACTATTCATGGAGTCGACAACAATGCCGGTCACGGCCTGTGTATGCTTTCCGGTGCCAGGCGCGAACCCGGTAGTAGAACGGGCGTGAAGCTGCGCCACCGTGTCTGCCTGTCTTAATTGTTGCATCTTGACCCTCCTGGCCTGCGCTGGCGTGAGTTTTGACGGAAATCGTTGGCGGTGTAGCCCCGACTGTAGGTTGAACATGTCGATGGATCCTCCAACCGATCCTACGACCGCGAAGGTTCCGCACATGCTCATGGCAACGGCGGACACGTTCGCACTGTCGCCGGTTTGGAACGCCCACCTTCCAGCTCTCTTCCGGCCCCAAAACCAAGTGCGAACGAATGGATCGTCCTTATGTGCTGTCACCACGCTCTCCCAACCGGTCCTGCCGCTGATTTCAGCATCCACGGGTTGCCTCTGATTTTGAGATTTTTGCCACAACATCTGCTTGCCAGGCAAAGCACCGATCCCACCATCGCGATTCAACGAGCACGCTATACAGGTAATTTCTGGTGCCTTTAAGTCATCGAGGGTGGTTGTCGGACCGCGACCCGGGGCGTTATTCGCAAGAATGCCGTACTTCTTGGCCTTTTTGCGAATATTACCTTGACTTAACTCTGTGCTCTGGCCATCCCGGCGAAGACTCCAACCCCAGAGACTTCGATCTCTGCCGCCACTAAGAAGCCATTTATTGCCTGCTTCAGCGCCCCCGAAGTTGGAAGGCAAAAAGTGCAAGCATGTGACCGGTGCCGCATGACCACTTCTGCTGTGTAGAATTCGTGGGATTGGCGAAAAGGGCGTCTCATCAAATATCCACGTCTTCAAGGAGTTATCCCTACCGCTGGTTATAATGACTGGCTGGCCGATAAGGAATTCGATCTTGCTCACTCCTCCCCGAACTGAGGCTCCCTCTTGTGTTGGAGGGTAATGGGCACTTCGAAGGACACTCGTAATCCTGCTGCCTCTATTGAGGTCCCAGAATGTGACATCGCCACTCGACTGCGTCGCGGTGGCCATGACCCCATCTCTACGCCCATCCTGGCCGGCTCCAAAACCGTCGGTCCGAAATGTTATGCTCGTCACAGGCGCGTCCTCGGCGCCCGCCTTCACCTGAAGCGCCCTCTTGTCCGTGAGTACATTGTGGATGACCAGTGAGCCGTTCGCATACGAGATTGCCATTAACGAGAGTGCCGGGGTTGGCTGCATGCAAGTGACAGCACCAGACTTAGTAGACGGCGGTAAAATCGTGTAAATCAGCTTGCCCGTGGAGATGTTCCGGATCTCAACCCATCCATCTCGGCGGCCAGCGAATATTTTGTTCAAGTACGTCGGCATGGTACATATACCACCAGTTAGTTCGTTGCCATCCTTATTGGAAGTCATGGTAGTGATCGTCGTGTAATGCTCTAGCGTCGCCGTTTTCCACACATCTATCCTCGTCAGGCAGCACGCAACAATCCAGGAACCGAAAACGAGGATTTGCTTTATGGGCTCTTGGAGATCGGGTGGCAGTTCTAACTCGGCGAACTTCCTAGCCCCGCGAAAGACCCAGACGCCCTGGGCATTCCCCTCGCGTGGGTCGCCCCAGGCCGCAAAGGTCTTTTGTTTCGAGGCACATGTTGCGGTGATGGCACATGGCGTCTGCGGTTGGGTCACGAAGATGAGGTTGAGACCGCGTTTGAGATCGTAAGTCTGAAGCGATCGGCCGGTGGACGTGGTGATTTGGAAGGAGACATTTCCCACGGGAACCGACGCGAAGGGCACGTTAGTGGGAGAGACGAGGCCAATAGTCTAACATAACAGACTGTGTTAGATCTGGATTATCATTGCTATGGCCCTAAAACGTACCCGATAGGGAGCAAAGACCCTGGACTGCGATGCGGAAGATTTGGGTTTCGTGACGGAGCTGAGCTTCTGACGCTTAGCCAAAGGGCCGTCATGATCTGAATGGGACATCGCAACAAATCGTTGCTCAAATTCGAATTGGCAACTAGATTCCTAGATCGATTTGCATGATTATGGATTGCGCTGCTGGAGTATTTCTATAATACGTCGGAGTCGTAGCGTAACCAACTTTCTTCCAGTTGGCAAGCATTTTTAGTAGTTAAACGAGGATATACACAGGAAAAGTTCTTCTAGTATATTGGATTCCTTTATTCCGATAGCATCCTAATCATATCGTAATAATTATTAAGTAAATAACTATATTCTATAATTTTTATTTATATATAACTTCATAAAACTACTATTATTACTTTACATTAAATTATAACAATTCTTATTAAATATTAAATATTTAAATTTATTATTAAAAACTTTTTTATATAATATAATAAGTATCTTTTTTATAATTATCTCATAGTATGTAATTATAGTATGTAAGATTATTTTAAATATATATATAAGTTAGTTATGTATATATAAAGCTTAGAAGTAAAGCTATTAGAAGAATTTATAAAAATAAAAATATTATATATTTTCCTCCTCTATAGTGTACCATGTTGCGGATTACAGGTACCTTGCTGATTTACCCACCTTAGTTAGGTACTTATGCTACTCATCTTCCCTCACCTTTCGGGTACATCAGGCACCTATCTACAGGTCCCTAACTGACCTGCGTACAGGCACTTTCTACATGTGCATTATTCAACAGCTCTAAAATGTCTCCTTAGAGATTGTGCCTTTGCGGTATTCAGCAAGCCGTAAGGCGGCGAGACCGCATTCATATCCTCTTAATAGGTATTAACTCTCACAGGCTTGATAAGGACCGCTGTTGATACAGTGCCGTTATTCTCTGCGTATACATCGCGATGTTCCATAGGGTCACCACCCCACTCGACGCCACACCCTCCCAATCCCTCAATTACTGTCTGATTCGCTGTCCAACCCTGGCTGTCCGGCATTCAGCAACAATGGCTGGGTCGAAGATAAGCCCATGTTCTGGCATGTGGTTAATGATGTGCCATCGTGAGGCACCGTTTAATACCCTATTTTATGCTTAACTTGATGTCCCATCATCTGCCTGTATGTGTGTGTAACTCCCAACTACCTAATAAGTCGGAGGGGGGTTGAAAAGAACGTCAGGAATCGAGAAACTAAATCCCATACTCTTTTCCCTCCAAAGACACTCGCCTTCTTCTACGGAAACGTTCTAGGCATATAAAGCAGTTTATGAATTCTGTCCTAGTGCTTGGTTGGCAAATCGAGCGTGTCCTTACATATGTACAGAGGTCCCGGCTCCCTTTTTTATTTTTATTTTTTTTATAACATGACCTACCTTATTGTTGTTGCTGTCTACTTGCCCCGGTCCCTCAGTGGCCCGTTTGCCCGCCACGTATTGCCAGGTCGCAGATGCAAACTGTCGAATTCTACCTGTAATGATGCTCTCAAGATGTATCCCTGACGCTTCCAAATTCCGTATCCGTGACCCACCTCCAGCTCTGGTGGCAAAGACTAGTCGATGAAAATTAATCGGGCCCGGGTGACTACCTCTGGTTCTCTCATTGCCACCTCGACTTAGAGCTGACAACGTGCAAAGTTCCGGTGCTTTCTACAGACGGCAAGACGGATCGACAGGTTTCCCGGGGAATTGAGGTGTCAGCGGTTGATCACCCAGATTTATAGTCGATCTCGAGCACCCGAAGGTCGATTGCGTGCCACCCCTGGTCCGGGACGGTATCGCGCCCGAGGGTGAACAATACCTACCTACCTTTGCCGCCCGCTCGACACCTACCTGCCTTTATGAAGCTCGGTCACCTTAACCACCTCCGTACATGTTCTCGTAGTACCTGCGATGGTAGCGTTTGACATCGGACGCGTAACTGAGTAGGTATGTTTACATACCTGTAACGGCTTAGCTACACGCCCTCTCGCTGGCCTCGTACATACCTCCTACCTCCTACCGCCTACCTACCTACCTATCTACCTCAGGTTCCTAGCCTGCCCGCTATCTCTCGCATTACCTCGGCACCGGCTTCACACGGCGGGGTCTCGTACATGCAGGTAATAAGTTGAACCCTGATAGTTGAACCCTGATATGCGTGTTACTTAGGCTACGTCACTAAACCCTAGATAGAAACTTCGTCCCAGGCTAGCACACACACCGTCAGATACCCGCGACTCAAGCGACCTAGGCGAACTTGGGTGACTCGGCAGGTCGCAGATTATTATATCTAGGTATAGGTACGCCCGAGGAACAGACCACCTTACCTCAGCACCCTACCTCATACAAAGAGTCAGGTTGAAGCACCCCTACGTCAAGTCCAGTGGGAGAGGTCGGCAAGAATGGAGACTACAGGTGCGATAGACGGTGCTGAGAATCCCACAAACCTTACTGCCTCTTCCGCTCCCGCCAACTCCACCGTTCCTATGCTAGCGAGACCTCCATCGTCGGCCTCGTGGTCCGTGTCTCAGTCCCGCGCCCGCTCTCCGTCGTCCGTAGCCAGCAGCATCGCCAGCTCGATTGCAAGCGGGAAAGGCCGGCATGCCGAGCCCGGCACCACTGATGTGTCCATAGAACCTGCGAGCTTGTCTATGCCTCCTCCCTCGAGGTCGTTGATGCCGCTTCATCCTCCGTCGCCCTCGTACAATATGTACGACTCGTCCGGTTCCGAGGCGCGGAATGAACACTACCCTTCTAGTATTACCGGCACCCCTATCGCTACTTCTACTCCTACCGCGAATGGCGAACTCGCAGTCAAGGGAATCGACAATACTCCAAAGCTCCTGCCCGGCCACCCCCCAGTGGAACCGACTTCACACGGCCACCTGCCCGAACCTAGTACGAATCTCCTTTCATCCTCCTCGGAGAACGAGGCTGGGAAGCGGATCTCGGTCTCGTCTGCGTTCTCTTTGGCATCTACTCGCGGAGGCCCCAACAACCAGAGCTCTACCACATCCACTGCCGGGTCCGATAACGGCAGTGTCCCGCCGGGCATCATGGCTTCCGGAAAAGGCGTGGGCGTGGCACCGGGACAGTCCGAGCCTGGTGTATCGGCCGTGACGGTTACCACGTCTTCCAGCTCAAATGCCCTGAATAGTGTCGATGGTCCACAGTTGACGCCGCGGGATAGTTATTATACTAACCCTCTGGATCTCGTCAAACGGACTCCCGCGCCCACATCCAACCCTGGCTCTCGATCACAGGTGGCTAGATCCCGGAGTAGGGCTAAGCGCCGCTTCAGCGGGAGCACTGCCAATAGCAGTCATAGTCCTAGTAGCGACCGTGGTCCTCAAAGTAGAGACAAGGATGAGATCAGGCCAGCCCCATGGGGGATCATCGGCGTTTGCGCCCTGGATTCCAAAGCCAGGAGCAAGCCAAGCAGGAACATTCTAAATAGATTGATCACAAACCGCGAGTTTGACGTGGTTGTGTTCGGGGATAAGACGATTCTTGATGAAGGTACAGCGAGCTGCCGCTTATGACGCTTACCGGGCACTATGACGGTTGCTAACAGTTACGCAGAGGTAGAGAATTGGCCGATATGTGACTACTTGATTTCCTTTTACTCAGATGGGTTCCCCTTGGACAAGGCAATCTCCTATGTCAAAGCCCGGAAACCGTTCTGTGTCAACGACCTGCCGATGCAAAAAATACTCTGGGACAGACGAGTCTGCTTGCGAATGCTCGACAAAATTAGCGTACCTACCCCCAAGCGAGTCGAAGTGAATCGAGATGGCGGGCCGAGCGTGCTGACACCGGATGTGGCGAAACATATAAAAGATGTTAGCGGTATCACTGTGGAGCCATACGGACCGGAAAACTACCGTTTCCCTCGCAAGGTAGAGTTGCTCGATGACGACGATATCCTCAGTGTGGACGGCGCGTTATTAAAGAAGCCATTTGTTGAAAAGCCGACCAGCGGCGAGGATCACAACATCATCATTTATTTTCCCAAATCTGCCGGCGGAGGCGCCCGCAAACTCTTTAGAAAAATCGGCAACAAGAGCTCGGAACTTGTCAAGGATCTCGTCGTCCCTCGTGCCATCACCGAACCGGAAGGCAGTTTCATATACGAGAAATTCATGCAGGTCGACAATGCGGAAGATGTGAAAGCCTACACCGTAGGGCCACAGTATTGTCATGCCGAAACGAGAAAGTCGCCCGTCGTAGACGGCATCGTCCGGCGCAACACCCACGGGAAAGAAATTCGCTACGTCACCTCTCTATGCCCAGAGGAGAAGGAGATTGCGACCAAAATCGCCAACACATTCGGTCAACGTGTCTGTGGCTTCGATTTACTTCGGGCTGGGGGCAAGAGCTATGTCATAGATGTCAATGGCTGGAGCTTCGTTAAAGACAATGACACATACTATGACCACTGTGCTAGCATATTGAAGGATATCTTCGTTAAGGAGAAGATACGCCGTGGCGGTCCAACACCGCCTATGCCATCCCCTACCATTTCTGATATCGGCGATCCTCTAGCTCGGGCTCTACTAGCCAGTAAAGAGAGAGACTTACAGGCTGCCACACGGAACCCAAGCCAGACGAAGCTTGTAGGAGCTGGTAGTACGCTGTTGCCCGAGGAGAGTAAAGAAGTGAGCAAGGATGAGCATAGCGCAGGTAGCACGTCGGCCCCCAAGCCTGATCTGGGGATCGCGGGAATCGCGGCGAGGCTGCAAACTAGCATCATCGGGCCCATGGCCTACCTCACCAGCGGTTCCGCATCGAGTAGTTTGCCAGCTACCGCCCCACCGACTCTCCCAACCACTCCTTCAGGGGCAACAGACGACAAGATTGATGATCAGTTGGAACAACCGACGCCGCCCCCGCCCCCGCCGAAACACTCTTGGAAACTCAAGGGCATGGTTTCCGTCATTCGTCACGCCGACCGTACTCCAAAGCAAAAGTACAAGTTCACCTTCCACACCCAACCATTCATCGATCTCCTAAAAGGCCACCAAGAAGAAGTCCTCTTGATCGGAGAGCCAGCCTTGGCTAGTGTTCTTGATGCTGTCGATCTGGCCCTGAGGGCTGGCGAAGAAGACCGAAACAAGCTGAAGTCCCTTCGCAACGTGTTGGTTAAGAAAGGGGGCTGGGCAGGCACAAAGGTTCAAATCAAGCCCATGTTTCGTAAGAAGAAAACGCCCGAAATAACCCCTGGGTCAACTCCTAACATCACAGGGGACGTCAAAACGGAGTCCGAAATTTCGGATCTTTCGCTCAGGGACCAGAGAAAAGCGAAAGACCAGGGAGGGCTCTCCCGCGCAAAAGAACAGCTAGGGGCTAAGGACGGCCAGGACAGATATGAAGGTGCCGAAACCAGTGCGTCCGATGGTGAAAATCAACCAACCTGGCAACCGCGACGCCAAGACTCTATGTCAGGGGTTACGATGTCCAAATTCACGGCGGCCGATAACAGTTTCGTTCTCGACAAGCTACAGCTCATCGTCAAATGGGGAGGAGAACCGACCCATTCCGCTCGCTACCAAGCGCAGGAATTGGCACAAAATATGCGGAACGATTACCTCCTGTTGAACCGCGATATCCTGGATCAGGTTCACGTCTTTAGTAGTTCCGAGAGAAGGGTTACTACTAGCGCACAGATCTGGGCTGCGTCATTTGTTGATAAAAACGATATTCCGGAGGACTTCATCACCATACGGAAGGACCTCCTCGATGACTCCAATGCAGCAAAAGACGAGATGGACAAAGTGAAGAAGAAGTTGAAAGGATTGCTACGCGAGGGGAACGAGCGGCCACCTCAGTTCGCCTGGCCTGAAGGCATGCCCGAACCCTCCGAGGTACAGACGCGAGTCGTACAGCTGATGAACTTCCACCGTCGTGTAATGCAATATAATTATAGCAAACTGTATAGTGGTGCTGTGAACTCCCTCAACGCTATCAACTCTCCTCCTGGCCTGGAGAAGGCCCACGGCGAGGGATCCGGCGCATCGCCTTCTCCGTCACTTTCCCAAGCAAACGCCGTCAACAACATCCAGCCCCGTTGGTGCTGTGGCGAAGATGCGGAATTATTCCGCGAGCGGTGGGAGAAGCTCTTTGCAGAGTTCTGGGACCACGAGAAAGTTGATCCCAGCAAGATATCGGAATTGTACGACACGATGAAATTCGATGCCCTACACAACCGCCAATTTCTAGAGTGGGTTTTCACGCCCCCAAGGCATATGTTAGAAGAGGAGTTTGGCATAACAATTAATCGCGAGAGCAAAGCAACGCCCAAGCAATCTGAGGACGGCGGAGGGGCAGCAGGCGACAAGCCCGACGATAGCCAAACTCCGGATTCGCTATCCGGGGAGAAACTTGACAAGCTAGATCGGCTGGAGAGGGTAGACAAGGCTGAGAAGCCAGAGGCCCAGAAGGCCGTGAGGCGAATCTTCCGGAGGCGGTCGTGGATGAAGCATCCCAGCGAAGTCGATAAACCCGCCGAATATTTCCACTTAGCCAAGGGTAATAGTCGGACAAAAGCAAAGACAGACGAATGCTTCGAGCCTCTTCGGGAGCTCTACCAGTTAGCGAAGGTGTTGTTCGATTTCATCTGCCCGCAGGAATACGGCATTTCGGATAGCGAGAAGGTAGGCCGGGCCGTAAATTCTCTGGAGGAGACAAGGCCGACACTAACGTGATATCGTAGCTCGAAATCGGACTTCTAACATCTCTGCCCCTACTTAAGGAGATCGTCCAGGATCTTGAAGAGATGCAGGCCTCGGACGATGCTCAATCATTCTTCTATTTCACCAAGGAGTCGCATATTTACACATTGCTGAACTGCATCCTCGAGGGTGGCATCGAAACCAAGATTAATCGAAGAACGATTCCCGAGCTCGACTATCTTTCGCAGATATGTTTCGAGTTGTACGAGTCTGAGAACAAGGCACCCGTGGACACGTCTCCTGCCAACCAGCCCTCGTTCAGTTACAGCATTCGGGTCACGATCAGTCCCGGCTGCCATATCTTCGACCCGTTAGACATCCAACTAGATAGCAAGCACTGCATAGGGTGTGCACCGCGAAGAAGCCTGACACCCCATGGAGACTGGAAGAAAGTTATCGAGACTCTTAGAGCCAAGTTCCATCAGTAAGTGGCCTGCCAGCGTAGTACCGAGGTTGTGGCACAACATACTACGAATCATCGTGATTCTCCAGATATGGATCGCTGATTCGACAACCAATAGGGTCAAATTACCCAAGACGTTTCTCGCGGTAAACCTCTCGGACGCCTTCACGTTCCAGGAGAAGGAGCGCCAAAACTCCGAAGCGGATTGCCTAGAGAAAGATTCGGTGAGCAATGAAACCGGCGGCGTCGAAATGAAAAATGACCAGCTGGAAATCTCCTCGCCGTCGAAACCCGATCACCGTGACCACACCGAAGAGACCATTGATGAAAAATCTCTTCCACCTCCTATTGTAACGGCTAATACGGTAGCTCTGCCTCCGGCCGCAGACGCATCGGGAATAACGGCCTCCGAATCGGATGATTGCAGGGCACGCGCCCCTAACCAACAGCAGTGATGGCTCTTGTCAGGATGATGGTCTGCATGGGCGGCACGGAATCCGGATAAGGAGCCGGTGGATTAAAGTAGATATGTTTATGCTACCCATAGGGAGCATCCGGACGCTTCCTGTCTTGTTTTGCTTTCTCCCGTCTGCCAGGTAGGCGGTGAGAAAATCTCATAATAAAGCCGGGGTTGTTGAGGGAGTAAGATGGACGCGCATTACGCACAGCAAGAGATCGAGAAAGGAAGTGGTTTCTGACCTAAGAGTCACAACATGCGCGCACAGTAGGGAGGGGTCTGGTGGCTCTACTCATCTTGTATGAGCAGTCAGGGAAACGTCAACGTCACTGCTACACACCCAAATAACACCTCAGCGGCGAGTCTCTTATATGATGCTTCGTACGTCGGGGACTCGCCCACCCTCGCCAGCACTTAAAAAAATGACGTATCCCTATGTGGCGCATCGTGGGCGCTATGCAGATAACAAACCCGTTGCTATTGAGATCAGGATAGCGGCATCGAGTCCACGTGGACTGTTTAGGGGAGGGAGGCCAGGGGGTAGGGAGAGGGGAGGAAATGTGTTGCGTGCGCCTGTCAGCATGATAGATGATAGGCTCGACATTGTGTGACAGGTCGACGAATCTCACCCGTCGAGGCCTTCCAACCCTACCTCGCCTTCTCACTCGAAGATTCCACACACCGATCGCCGATGCGAGATGGCCCCTATCTGGGTTGTCTACACGTATGTGAAATGCAGTGTAATGCGTATGGTTGTACGGGGAGCTGCCCCTTTTCTCTCCTCTCACCTCGAAACCCGGTTGACGCGTTACTTATCATGATGCATGTATGTACGCCCTACTGATCCTGACTGGGCAGTCCTTTCGCCGTTCTCCCTCGAGTTTCCTTGATTTGCTCCCTTCTTTGTCTCTTTTGGTTTCCCACGGTCCCCCCTCCCCCCTTCACCGCCGGAAGGAAGAGTGACGAATGGGAAGAAAAAAAAACCTCCATTTACTGTTGGTTGACACCATGCCCCTTCGTATTTCCTTTATCGAGAAGAATTTTATTTCTCACTGTGATCTTAGTACGACTTTGGATTTCGGTTCTTTTTTCTTTTCTCTTTTGTTGCTGGGGCCATCCTTCCATTTCATTCTTTTCTTCTGTACATGGGTGGACAGATAGGCTGGCGGAGGATTGTATGTGTTAACAACTCTCCCCCCCCCCTATCTGTCCGTCGGCTATTCCCTTGCGTCATCACATCATCAGCACACCACCGGATACATGCTGGGGTAATGAAGAGAACGTAACGGTAATGGGGGCAGATCCGTACCTTGCGGCTACGAGGTGGAGGGAGAGGCGAATTCACCCCGTCCTCGTAATGAGAAGCGATGTTGCAGTGAAACGGCCGTGCTCTATCCCTCCCCCCCCCCTTCCTTCTTGGCCCCGAGCTCTGGGATGGAGGCTGTACGGGTCAAAAATCCCAGGGACTGGACGTAAGAGCGCATACTTGAGTGGATATAGCCTTTCCGTACCCCTCGCTCGCTTTCTCCTCGCGGACGGACGGCTCGACCAGCATTGCCGAGTGGACGACGGAGATGGTCTGTAACGTCGACGAGCCGTACCTCGCGTACGTGCATCTATGTACATATATAACGTACACGTTATGTATATATGTGTAGGTACGAGCGAATGCATGGATGCGTCATGGCTGCACGCAGCGCTCACATGTTTGGGTAGGATGTGCGCGAACGGGTGCGAGTAGATATTAACGTACATCGGCAGACAGCGTCGGCACAAAAGGTGGCCACCAAACCCAAGCACGTCGTCTCCTCCAATTTACCAATTGGGCTGGGTGCTCATGCTCGCGGCTCACAGAACGCGAAGGCCCAGGACCCGGCACTAGATAGTAGATGGGCAGATCCGGATGAGGAGGCGGAAGCTAACCGAAAGCCATGCCGGGGAGGGGCCGAACCTGGATAGATATATGATATTGAGGCTATCCCTCGGAGACGCGCGGAAATCCACGAAGCTACCATCAACGGTTGCCCCTGCTGCCCACATTTCAGGAACCGAAAAGCAAGGGAAGAAGGACGGGAAGAGGGCCGGGGAAAGGGTCTAATGGTAACCAAGTTCGTACATAGTACGCCTATCTGCCCCGTTGTGGGTGTACTATGCAGAGCCGTCGACATCATACGGCAGCCGTTTCGCGCTGCGTCACCACGGGATTGAGGCTGATTGCGAATCTTCCGGTTGGGGTTGCTTGCTGCTCGGTAGCATCGTGCAGTCTACGTGTGAGGCCCGAAGCCTCCTCAAACGAGGCTGAGACCTGCCCGATTTGCTCGCCCAACGTTCGGAATTAAATCCGGAGGGGTTGGCATGAACTCGGATACGTAAAAAGAATAAATAAATAGAAATTTAATGCCTGCGTTCGTCATCAGTGCTTCTCCAGTCTTGTCCAATTTTACCGAGCCAGATTTCGGATTTGCCTAGCCAGACCCTGTCCAGAGGGCCCGTAACTCTTTTTGGGGCCCCGTTCAAGCCCAGGCCCCTTTCCCCGTTGGGACCTCCTGGCCGGATATCGCAAGGTGCATGACCAGCAAGATGGCATGGCCGAGATATCTGTACGTGCGCACGGATGTATGTATGCGGATACTCATACAGTACCGTAGGTACATACGACATATATCCGTGACGATGCGGATGATGGCGATGAGGTATTGAGCAAGTCGTGCACTACTCGCGCCAAGCGGAGGAAGCGGGAATCAACCAGCAAACCTCACGCACCACCGTGAGCATACGTACACACAGATCAGTCCATCCACGGGCCATTTTCACATCCATATATGTCTGGTCTTGCACAGAAGACCTTCGGAAGCACGTCAGAGAAAAAGCGCATCTCCGGCACTTGCACCGGTTGGTCCACGAATGATTGTGTCCGGGCCGTGCAGCGTGGGATCGTTGGGAGGAGGAGGGAGGAGGTCTGATGGTGAGAGGAAGAGTCGAACAAGGTTAGCACGAGAGACGTTGGTGGTGGTAGTGGTGGTGGTGGTAACTGTGGCGGCAGCGGAAGAGGGTACACGGATAGGAGGATCTGTTGGGCAGCTATCCCATAAGGGAATCGACATGAGCACAGAAATAAGGGCTCGAAGGCTGAACAGGGCTTGACCAGCGCTGCCTACCACGCTCATTACTACGTTAGGTAGTATGTATGTGCGGTGCCGCCCCCCCACTACCCCCCTGCGGGCACCGACCATATAGCACTAGCTCGGACGGGTATGGGCAAAGACGTACTGCTATCGTAAGTTTCGCAAAAAAGCGGTAAGCCGTGCTGCAAATTTGCAGGCGACGACTGAAACGTCTCTGGGAATCTGGACGCCTTGGCAGGCTGGGCAGAGACGGAACAAGCTCACGTCCAACGGTACGACGTCGGAATGGACGAACCCATGGGGGCTCGCGTCTGGTTCCGCTTTGCTGACCTGCATAAGGGGAGGGAGAGGGGAGGGGGGGGGGGGGGGGGGCGCTGACTCCATGTGCAAAGAGGGAACTGCAGGATGTACTGGACCCGTGAACAGAGGCGTTCGTCCCGGAGAGGAAGATCATGCTGGGGAAATTTGGTCGCCATGCCATGCCATTCCTAGTGTGTAACTAAGCTCGATCAACCCTGATATTTAGGCCGGCGCCGTGGGGCCACCTGACTTCACGATGCCCTCCTGCTTTCCCTCTTTCTCTCTCTCCGGACTCGAACAACGTGGCAACGAAACGGTCGAGGGTGTGCGGGCGCCGCGGCCCGGATCGGCAGACGAGACGAGATCTGGGCGTTGTAGGGGAGGGATTATACGCGCGCGCGATCATGGCAACCGTCGAGTTCGGGTTTAATGACAAGAAGAAAAGGGGGGGAGACAGAGACAGAGTGACAGAGTGACAGAGACAGACACACACACAAAACAGAGAGAGAGAAAGAAAAAGAGAGAGAGCAGAGTGAGAATTGCTTGCCCGAGGGCCCCTTCGCCTCCTGAGGTTAGATGGGATCGAATATGGCAGCAGCAGTGATCGATCGCATTGGCCCATCCGAGAGACGAGGAGGGTGGAAAAATGACGTTGTCATCGGCAAACCGGTGAGAGCCACCCCCGGTTACGGGCAAGCTGGGTGGGTACGTTTGACAGGTAGGTACCTACCTAGGTAGTTGTGAGGTAGAGGGTACCCATGTACAGGTACCTGGGCGAGTTTAATGAGACCGGTAGTTGGTGCCAACGGTAAATGAGGAGCTTTCCGTTTTGGGCCGTCTGCATCTCCTCACAGCCAACCAGACGCGGCTCAGTGTTGGCGTGGAGTGACGGACTCCCGCCTGCCCACGCAGCGGCCAGGAGGTCCCGTCTCGTGTCGACCCGTCGGGTAGCATTCGCTATGAACAGGAAATTTACCGCTGGGCCGAGCAGTTCGATTGGGGGGGGAGAAAGGGGACTGGAGTGACTAGAGCCGAGCGCCGGATTTCTCACCCAATCCGTACCTACGTCCTTACGTCGAAATGCCCCCCCTAGGACCGTAGGCCGCCCGCCTACCTACCTGTTCGCGAGTCATCTCCGTTAGCTGGTTCACGTAGTCGATATTGCTCGCTAGGGCCGCCGGAGCGTTCTAGACGGAGGGGAAGCCAGCCGATTGGCGGCGAGCCTCGACGGCTCGTTGACCTCATGAGACGGCAAATTGCTACCAGGTATCCCCTGGCGCTGGTCGGACGGTGGGGTGGGAATCAAAATAGATGGACCAGGCTATATGCTCATAGGCATGTGCACGACGCCTCTCGGAGCGGCAAGCCGACGGCATCGGAACCACGTGCGATTTCCTCCTCGCCCTTCTCTCCCACCCTGCACGCGCATAGCGCTCGACGTGGCGGGGCGAAGGAAGACGATGGAAGCCGTTTAGAAAGTCCCTAGTGCCCTCCTGCTAGGTGGACGACTCTGCCTGACTCGCGCTCGGGGATTTTCTGATTCGTCCGCCAGCCAAGGAATGTAGGAATGTCT